TGATTTTGGAAATTTTTTGAACGGTTTTGCTAAAAGCCCACGCGTGCTTCGTACGGTTCTGAATATTGAATGAGTGCAATTTGTCTTGAAAAATTGTGAAATACTGCATTTTGTCTGAGGTCTGTATGATAAAAACAGCGCCTCATATTACTGTTTCACCTCAGATGTGACGCATAAAAAGTATGAAATGTTGGTTTACACGCTCCCAGAGTTGTTGGCAAGATTTTTTTAAGTAGACTTGTCGAACGCAAAAAATTCGGCCTGATTTGTTTTTTCCATGAATTCGTTTTCCAGGCCTAATCTACTGTGATCAAGAGCTATTATGGCTCTTAAATGTGATCGACGATGATTGCTATTTTTTGGGTGTATATATACCGGCTATCAATTCGATGAAAGATTTTTTTTCACTCTAAAATCACTTAGCCTTAGCTTTCCCTAAAAAGTCACATATGTGCCATTAAGTTAACTGATTTGTGGATTACAAGTTTATTATTTGATTTAAATCATAAATTTATTGATGGGAGCTTCGCTTTTAGCCCTGGCTAAATCTATATATTAGTTATACAAGCATAATCCCCGCAATAGCATGTTTTCTCCATTTTCTTGCAACAGAAGATTCTCTAAAGGCCCGGAGCTCCTTAGAATCAAAGTGCAACGCTTCTCGGTGGATGGAAAGCATGACTGACCATGAAGGTATCCTCTTAGGTAGGACGAGTAGAAATCATTTCTGTCTATAGTTTAACCAAGTGATAAAAGCGCGGGAGGCGCGCGAGAGCGAGCAAAAAATAGGAACGGGGAAAGAAATAAAACGCCGGAGGCTTAGCTTCCATCCCGGTAGTACAAGCTAATACACAACCTAATATATGCCCAACAAATGTTCATCCCTGTGAGGAATGACCTGGAATTGACTAAGCCTTAAGTTTCAATGAGATTATTATTGTAACCAATTATAAAGCTTATTTTTGCAGAGCCTTCTATGGAAATTGAAAACACCCGCAGAAGTTCGTGTGCTTGGCATACGGTGTTTATTCTTTCCTCTTAAGGAATATTTGTAGACTAGTAATATCCATTGAAACTAGGATCGCGTTCTCAGGAACTTTCCTCTCCTCTATAAAGTTAATAAATTGTGTGGTATCTTTGAGATCCTTTGAGGTAGGATTTTTGTGCTTTAGCGATCGGCTGAAGACTGTGGTCTAAGGATGATGATATTCGCTCTGTTGGTCAGCGTTGCAGCCCGAATTTATAGGTCTTCCAATTAAATTTGGTTTGTGAAACTTGGTTAATGTGTAGAAAAGTGGTATGCGCGGTAGGCAAGGTGTTTGTGAAAGCCATTTCTTGGTCATTGTGTCACTATGACCTCCTTCATGGAGATTATTGATTATTTCTTGGACCTTTTGAGAGGTCTCTTGTGCCATTGGTGCTTCGAGGAGCGTGTAGTTTTGCCTGTCATCAAGCTGCACCTGGCCCTCTTGTATTTTATCATTTTTGTTCATTATGACCGTTGTGGTGCCCTTGTCTGCCTTTTTTATTATTATTTCTGTGTTAGATCTGAGTCCTTTAAGTGCTATACGTTCTCTGAAAGGCAGGTTATTTCGTGGCAGTGGCCTTTGCGAACATTTTTATGTCCAGAATTGAAACAGAAATTATCAGTAAAAGCAAGACTAAACCCCTCGGGTGGAAAAGATGCATTGACGATGTTTTCTCCCTGTGGGAAAAAGGAAGGGAGACGATAAATCAGTTTGTTTTAGAAGCAAACACACATCATCCTACGATAAAATTTAAGGCTGAAATTTCAGAGAAGGAAATACCTTTCCTAGACACCACTGTCTTCAAGGGCGAGAGATTTTACGACGACGTTATCCTTGACATCCGTACACATTTTAAGCCGACAGAGACATTTCAATACACGCATTTCAATTCCTGGCACGCTCCGGGCGTGAAAAAACGATTTAGTAAAGGCAAAGCATTTAGACTTTTGAGAACCAACTCTTCAAAAAAATTATTTGCAGAAAGCATTAACAACCTCAAGTCACACTTGCGTGTCCGAGGATATCCAGATAATCTGGTAATTAACGTCCTCGCAGAAGTTAAATTTACGGATAGAGAGTCGGCACTTCAGCAAAAACTGCAAGGAGAAAAGAACAAACTAAGGCCTTTTGTTACACAGTACAACCCCTCAGTGGCTAGTCTTAAAAAGGTTCTAATTAACGGACAAGTGGCATTTAATTGAAAATCACCCATTGCCGAGTACAATATACAGAGAATCACCTCTCATCTCCCACAGAAGAAGGAAGTCTCTAAAGGACATACTTGTTAGAGCTAAACTTTGAAGGTCAAAGTACTATTACATCACGAAACAGCGGGAGTCTTGTTTAGCCTGTCAACCTCTTTTAGCAGCTGTCTGTAACAGTTCGGATGTTTGTCCCTCGGTATTTCACAAGATAAAAAACGTGAATGAATTATCGTTCAAAACGTAAATATATAATCAACGCCTGAACGGTTACTTTAAATTAACCCTAAACTCTAGTTTTTGTTTCCACACTAAAGATAGGAAAACAAAATGTCTACACATTCAGTTCATTGTCTTTTTTATTCTTTATTTTTACATCCTTGTTACTGAACATTTCCTCTTTTTCATTCACACTGAGCTGTTTACTTCTTATTGAATTCATCTTACCATTGCATTGATTCACTCTCGTCTTCTTTACAGTTGACCTGGCAACACAAAGCTTTGTTTTTCAGTCACAACAAAGCGTAAAGGATCAGTGCAACTTTTTCATACCAACCCAAACTTTAATTTAATTCATTTTTATAAAATAAAAGTTGGGGGATAACGTAATGAAGATATTTATATTTCCATGAGTTCCGTGATTCTGCCCCCATGTAATAAGTATCGGCTAACGTCACAGATAAGTTAAAGTTGGAAAAAATTCCTTGGAAAAGGGAATGCGCTTCCAAAGTAGCGTTTTTATTGCTACTAGGGGACAAGTAGTAGCATACTAATTGGCAAATTGCAGGATGATAGTTAGGTGATACTGAAAATAAATAACTTCATGTAAATCCCGAGGGATACCGTCCCTTGTATAAGCCATATAGTTCAGTTTTGGTATGTGTCGCTCCAAAGGATATGGTTTCTTTTTGCGCATTTCTTGGTCTGAAAACGGATATATATTTTGCCCATTTTGGTCTAGAATCGAGTATGGTTTTCGAGGGAGTTACAGGAGGGCATGACGGTAATTATCATTTCAACTCCAAATCAGTAAGAAAGAAAGGAAAATTTGCGAATTCGAAATGGATTTGAAGAATTTCTTTTGTTTGCGCTCTAATTTAAGAGATGATGACATAATTTCTGCCTAAAGATCAGGTCTGAAAACGGGTATGGATTTGGTCTAGTCTGGTGTGAAAACGGGTTTTCTAAGTGTCGAAATAGCGTCGACTCTACTCTATGCTCAAATGAACCACAACCGGTCATCTGCGGAACCACTCTTCTCTTCCTGATCGCTTGGTTGTTCGAATGAAGATAGAATACTTTCAAACTTTTAGAAAAAGGGATATTTCAGACTCTCGAAAAATAAAAAAAAATACTTAATTGATTTTGTTGTTAACTAAAATGTCCGTCTGGCCGCCCACTTCCGACTTTGGCAAGCGCCCTTAGTGTTCATCACTCTTCGACATGGATTAGCTTTCTATGAATAGTTAAAAAGGGTGTTCTAGATGGAAAAAGAAAATGAACTCTCACTGGAGAGAATAAAAAGGAAGCTCACACTGATCGGCAATGACTTCAGCAGATTTTCAGATTATATGACACGGATCTTAAGTTGAGCTGAGCTGCTTGATCAACTACGACGGTGCGGCAACGAGAACATCTTTCATGAATCTGCGCTGCTGGAGAATTATGGCATATGTTCTTATTTGTTTTGTCGTTTCTTCTATTTTTTTGTTGTTGTTGCGCGGAAACACCTCAAGTAAGCAAAGCATCTCGAGCCTGAGGCGGGGTACTTTAGGAATTTTGGGGTGGGAATGTGTCGCTGGGACCCTAAAACCCTTGGCCTATACCAGAGCTAGTTCAGCTGAATTTTGTTATCCTATACTAGACTAAACTCCCCAAATCCCCCTTACCCTAGACTAGCCTTTAGGCTGCGTTGCCAAAATTTAAACTTGCCGATTTGATTTTTTATGTATTTTTGAGTGGAAATTCCCGGTTTCCCTAGCCTAGACTAAAATCTTCAACCAACTGATGAGTTTCCAGAAAATGATACCCTATTCTAGACCGAAACTCTCTGATTTATATACCCTCTACGCCAATGTAAACTCCATAAACCATACCCTTCACAAAGCATCCCAAGCAAGCAAAGGATCTCAAGTAAGCAAAGTATCTCAAGTAAGCAAAGCACCTCAAGTAAGCAAAGCATCTCAAGTAAGCAAAGCACCTCAAGTAAGCAAAGTATCTCCAGTAAGCAAAGCATCTCCAGTAAGCAAAGTATCTCAAGTAAGCAAAGCATCTCGAGTAAGCAAAGCACCTCAGGTAAGCAAAAGCATGCCAAGTAAGCAAAGCATTTCAAGTAAGCAAAAGCATGCCAAGTAAGCAAAGCATCTCAGTAAGCAAAGCATTGCAAGTAAGCAAAGTATCCCAAGCAAGCAAAGCATCCCAAGTAAGCAAAGCAATGCAACTAAGCAAAGCACCCCAAGCAAGCAGGCATATTCCAAGTAAGCAAAGCACCTCAAGTAAGCAAAAGCATTCCAAGTAAGCAAAGCATCTCAAGCAAGCAAAGCACCTCAAGTAAGTAAAATATCGCAAGTAAGCAAAGCATTGCAAGTAAGCAAAGTATCGCAAGTAAGCAAAGCACCCCAAGTAATTAGCACCTCAAGGAAGCAAAGCACCTCGAGGAAGCAAAGAATCCCAAGTAAGCAAAGCATTGCAAGTAAGCGAAGTATAGCAAGCCAAGCAAAGCACCCCAAACAAGCAAAGCACATCCGAAGTAAGCAAAGTATCTCAAGTAAGCAAAGCATTGGAAGTAAGCAAAGCACCTCAAGTAAGCAAAGTATCGCAAGCAAGCAAAGCACCTCAAGTAAGCTAAGTGTCGCGAGCAAGCAAAGCACTTCAAGTAAGCAAAGCATCCCAAGTGAGCAAAGCATTGCAAGTAAGGAAAGCACCTCAAGCAAGCGAAGCATCCCAAGTAAGCAAAGCACCCCAAGCAAGCAAAGCACCTCAAGTAAGCAAAGCAACTCAACCAAGCAAAGCATCGTAAGTAGGCAGAGCATCTCAAGTAAGCAAAGCACCTCATGTAAGTAAAATATCGCAAGTAAGCAAAGCATTGTAAGTAAGCAAAGTATCGCAAGTAAGAAAAGAACCCCAAGTAATTAGCACCTCAAGGAAGCAAAGCACCTCGAGGAAGCAAAGAATCCCAAGTAAGCAAAGCATTGCAAGTAAGCGAAGTATAGCAAGCCAAGCAAAGCACCTCAAGCAAGCAAAGCATCCCAAGTAAGCAAAGCATTGCAAGTAAGCAAAGCACCCCAAGTAAGCAAAGCACTTCAAGTAAGCAAAGTATCGCAAGCAAGCAAAGCATCCCAAGTATAGCTCATGTAAGAAGAGCACAGAAGTAAGCAAAGCATCACAAGCAAGGATGCAGGCAATTTGTATGGACAACTATATGATGGCTTGACATGAAGTACTTACCGATTGTTGAATCAATTACATTGTGCGATAATGCGATAGCTTTTGCTGTCCAACTTTACGTTGCGTGCCTTGACCGGAAGTACCGAGTGAGGAAACCTGATTCGAATGTGCTATTCTTACCGTAACAATTTCAACAGTGGAGCGGCGTTTACACCCTAGCCATGGTCCGAAATAATGATCCACACACTTGCTCTTTTTTTTTTAACCAAACTAAAAGCTTTCTACGGGCAGAACCGAGAACTACTCAAGTTTGTGTAAAAAGAACACACAGGGTGCCTGGAGAGTTCGTTCAACCAAGTTGATATCATTGTATCTTGCTAATCAGTGAGTCCAAAAGACCATTTTTAGATTTATTAAAATTCATACTTGGCTCCGAAGCTTGGGGGAATAAAACAGAAGAAATTCATTATTCATTGTTGAGCCTCAAGATGATTTCTTTTGTTTTATTTCCCAAGCCCTTGCAGCTAGGTATTAATTTCAATATATTGGAATAGGACAATTGCACGATGACGTCATTTTACTACAACTACCAGAATCCTTCATTTTGTTGTTTTCTCGTGCAAATTAGGGTTATTTTTGTTGAAACCTCAGCGAGATTGACAAATTTCAATAGGAAGGCAAAAACGATATGAATTCTGGTAGTTGTAGTCAAATGTCGTCATCGTGAAAATGGCTTATTGGTCTTTTGATGTCTGTTGATCACTAGAAGTATTTGAAGTAGAGTTATTACACAAATAGGTTTCCAGGCTACTCAATTGTACCATCCATAGTCAAATAAAAATCTTAATAATTGCGGTGCTTAATGTTTAAAGAAGATGGAAAAATGCAAAGTCTTTAATAAGATACGAGAAACAATAAAGCAGGGGGTGTTCACGTTTGAGGCAGCCAGCTGTTTACTACAGTTATTTTAAAATAACTGTTAACCCGATCGTAATCGTTTGCAGGTGACCCCATTCAAGACGAGACAAGCCCAATTGTGGTCCATTTTTCCATTTCCGAAGATAAAGTCTGCAACACTCCGCCGGGAGGAGACTGTAACAGAGTTTATTATTGGAGAGCTCCAGATTTCATAAATGGCTCCCTTTTCGTCGACCTTTTGACGGAAATTGTCGATGCAATCTCAGATAGGGATTCTCAAAGGTTTCTTGAAGTCATTGAGCCTTCGCAAACGTCGTGGGCTGAGTTGCGACGATGGAACCGGAAGCGTAAACAGTGGTTTAGCATCAATGACGACGACGTTTCATTGAGCGTGCGGGAAGCGTGCTCAACCTTTAGTACCCCTGGAGACTTCATTTCTCTTTTCCCACCTGAAGGGGATTTTGGTATCTTAAGTGCTGACGTCCTTATTAACAACGACTCGGACCCCTCTGGAGAGATTCGGAAATGCATTAATCAGAATATTGCTTCCGACATTGCTGCCGATATTGCCTTGAGTGGTGAGGAGTTTGAGAGCGCCGAGGAAACCGAGGAGAGCCAAGATGTCTGTGTGGACGATACATATCCGTCAGATGAAGAAGAAGAGATTGACGAAGTGCAAGAGGCAAATCCTGAGAAGCCATGCTATTATCCATCACAGATAGAAATGGCAACTATTCTGAAGAAACGAATTGACACAATTATGTGGCATTACCACAACATCGCTAAGCTGAGCGACGCTTTCGACGACGTAGAGTTTGCAGTCTACACAGCAAGGTACCGGATGCTTAGCGATCAGACCGAGAAAAGGATCTGTCACCCTGACGCTGGTGTTCTATCGAAACAAGAACTCAAGTCACGTAAAGAGTGGAATGGAAAGAAGAGAATGTTCATGTATGTTCGCAGCGCGGAAACTGACATGCATTTTGAGCAGCTAAGAAGAGGCGTCCAAGAAAAACCAAGAACTCTTTTTATCATTATTGCCGATGAGTGCCATTGGGGAATAACAAAAGACAAAGACCAGAAACCATCGGCACATAATCTGTTCATCAATGAATGGTGTAAGGAAAACTCTCCCATAAATGTGGTCGTAGTGCAAATCTCGGCAACACCTTTCAACCTTTTAACGCAGAACTCCCGCCTTCCTGAAGTCCGTTGCCTAATTCTCTACGAGAGAACTTCTACCCTGCGAGGCAATCATTACGAAGCTGGCGATCTCTTGGTTTTAGAAAGTGAACCTGAGATTGAAAAACATGACTTTTCAAAACCAACGTCCAAGGAAGTAGAACTTCATGTTGTCCACTGGTCGGAGGTAGAGTTGAAGAACTTTGAAAGGGGAATGCGGATGAAACTCAAGTCAACATTAACAGTCAATCGTTCTCCACACCCTCGATACCTTCATGTTTCCACGGAGGGGAAACTGGGCGTCGTATACAATAAAAGTGATGCCACTGACTTTCTTGTACAGGGGAGTCACGGTATCGTGATAATCAAGGCCATTTTAAACGAAGGCAATGTCCGCACACTGACGGGAGACTCGCACGGAATGCTGGGAACCATTGTCCACCCTCAGGAATCAGCTAAGTTTGAGGTAAAGTTGGACTTTGGCGTTGGAGTTGTGGCGTTTTCTTGCAGTGACAGGAGAGATCTCTATTTAGCAGTCGACGACAAAGATAACGTTTTGTTGCAAACAGCTAGAATTGAAAGAAAATGTGGTGTGTCTATTATGAAAGCCAAACACGACTTGGGTCGCGTTTCATTCGAGTTTTACATTGATCAATGTGGACCAGCAGAAGTTGACTTGGTTGAACAACAGTACATGAGTTTAAACTACTATCTAAGCACCATGAACTGCTGTAAAAAGAGTGATCAAAAGATTCGTCAGGACAAGTTTTTTCAAGGGATCGTGGACACGGCAAAAAGAAAAATCAAGCGGTGCACACCCCACTCATCATCCCTCAAGATAGATGCCCTGCTATGCGCGGAGTACTGCTACTATATTCTCCTAGTTGGCACATACAACAGCGATGACAAAATCCGACAGGTACTTATCAATGGTACAGGAGAATCTCCCGCTGATCAGTTCACTGAAAAGGTTCGTTCTTTCAGAGAAGAACTCAAGAACAACGCAAAGTACATTCATCACGAAGCCTTTGAGTTGGTTGTAAGAGAATGTTGCGGCGAGGTGAAAGAAACTTTCATAGACAATGTGAAAAAATTCTCAAGATCCCAAAAACAAAACAGATCAACTGGTAAACTGGACTCTAATCAAAATTTAGAAACAGAATTTGTTGCCTGTCTGATGCACTTGTCTCGGGAAGATCTAAAAACTATCTTGGAAGACCCCCTCATGAATGGTATTCTAAAAGAGATCAAGACGTCACTAAAGCAAAACAACTGCCACAAGATGATTGAAATATGGACGGGTGTTGTTCGGCAGTACGAAACAGGATTTCTTGTAGAAAGCCTAATCCAGAGTGGCAAAGGGAAATGCGGTAAAATGAAAATTGTACGAGCAAAAAGCATGGAAACCGCCAATCAGTTTTACCACACTCTTAAATTGGCCAGGAAACTGTCCTCCTTGGAGAATTCATTTGAGATCATAAGAGATTATGGTGGAATCCAAATCGAGAAACAGATGATGAAATCATCAAGTCCTTTCTTCCTTAAGCTCCAGCCAAAGGAATGCCAGTTTCAATTTGACTGCCGTTGCCGTGAGCTTGAGCTACGCCCCGGCCGCAAGAAGTGTACCAATTGTCAACACGTTCATAAGTCAATCACTCAGTATGAAGACTTAGAAAATTTGGCATGTGTTCTCATCCTGGTTGATAAAGGTCGCAAGGGGGACACATTTCCCCAAAGCTTTGATTGCCTTGACCTTCGACTAAACTGTGACAGTAGTCGGGAATTCAAAGAGGGCTCACCACTTTTTTTGTCAATTGTCATTCAAGAACTTGGAAGAATGTGCCGTTATGCAAAGGCGTCAATCCGAGAATCACGTGATCAGTACAATCCTTATGTGTTGGTTGGAAGGGAGCTTTACAAAAGGCTTGGTGAATCATTGAAACGTTCCCCAGCTATGAGCACAATTTATTGTACCAGAGCTGATCGGTACATGTCAACCTCCAAAAGCAAACTTGAGACATCATCTTCACTGCGTTGGTTGGACTATGAAGCTCATAAGGATCGCTATGATTACGGTAACAAGCAAACACATTGCAACAGAATCCTTCTCCAAGCTGAACCCCAGATCGGCAAAACGGGTACCTATCTTTGCCTCATTAAGCAGCTTAGGCAAGACATTCTTGGAAAAGAAAAGAGGCCTCTGACACAAACTACCGCATTTGATGAAGGCAGCTTTTATCTCCATGAACAATGCGACTCCCTTGACGAGACAATAGAAAGCAGCGTGGAAAGCGATGAAAACTGGCAATTTCCCTATTGGAAGACGATCGAGAACTCTCCCAGTCTTTACGAAAAAGCGGTGGGACAGGGGAAGTATTCAATTGGAGGGCTCTTCTACACTCACGACATCGAAGATAGTCCCTTCTTCCTAATGAAACGAGAAAAGAAGAAGCCAATCAAGTCAATTCTCAATTATGAGAGATTGCTATCAAGACATTGTGGAGATGGTGTTCGCGCATGGCATTGGTACCATTTTGAGAACTGTGTTGAATGCGGAAGACTACTTCAAGGAGAGCGGCCAGTTTTGGAGACGCTTGAAGTAACCATAGATAGCGCTCCGGTAACGGTCACTTGTTCAATTCCAACCAGCAGTCTAGCATACAATTACCTGCAACGTCATCTCAGGAGTTTTAGGTCAGTGGAAGTGTCCTGGACCGAGTTCAACTGCCCTGGAGTGACCTCGCTGTCTTATTGGATATTCCATCCCTCTCACAGAGATGATCCGCGAAAGTGTCTTCTAAACTATCATCACGTGATGCAAGAAGAAAACCAAGTAGCTAGTTATCTGCAAGTTGCTGTGGTTCGAAGTGAAATGTTCCAGGCCTACAAATCCACCTGGGGGAAGGTGATTGCAATATTTCAGCTGCCAGATGAACTACCGAACTGCGAACTTGGACCGAGTGAAGGAGGTGTGGGTTACGCGAGGTTGTTTATTCAGAAAATTGCATTTGCTCTAAGGCTGGAATACGTTTATGTGATTGATGACAATGTGGCCTTGATGTCCGAAGCAGTGTTGAGGTCGGACGAAGGAAGAACAACAGGTCAGAGCGTTGTCAGAGATGAGAATGGAGTGATGAAGATGGAAAGATGTTCTTTCTTAAAACCTCTCACTTACCTTCAGAAAATTGCAAACGGAAAAGGCATCCACCCGATGAAAGAAAGCAATACGAGCCACATCCTTTAAAGGATCAGCCCGAGGGCCGACAGTTTCCCCTGTATACGTATACAGGTCCCGCTAAGTTGTTTGGTGACAGCCCTTTCAAGAGTTATGGCATTCTAGGTCTTCTCAGAAGTGTCCCCATATCGGTCAGGCCATTTGCGAAGACCCAGGTTTATGCTGCTGTTTTGTTGAATGTCAAAAGCACGGTGGAAAAGGAAGTGTTTTATCGACCATGGCCGTGTTGGGAAGACTTGCGCTTCAACGACGATTGCGACAAAGCTGGTTTATGGGTAGTGAAATGCAATCGCTTCCTTTTTCACAAAGTCCAATACAACGACTGGATCAAGGATCTCGCACGTCCGACTATTTTTGTATGGAAAAAAGATAGCTTTCTGGAAAAACGACCACTTGCTAGTGCGCTGCCAAAGGTAGTTGAGGAGGAAATCATCTTGGACCACCTTCGCAGCTTTGTCAACACTAAGGGCCATGAGAATTGCTTCAAAGGACAGATTGGATATGATCGGCCGGACGATTGTGAGGACCAACTCTCCCCCACAAAAATTATTGACAGTCTTGACCTTCAGAACTACGAATGGCAGGAGCTCGGTTCCACTGATGAAGTTCCAGTCCTTATTGTGTCGTACTGTGCTTCAGCTGCTAATCGGAAGACCAGAGACATGATGCTTTTGATTTCAGCGTTTTGTGCAGCCCAAGAAAAGATTGTTTTCATCACGAGTGCTAAAGATGCAATAGAAAGGTGGCCCGGGTTGACTCTGGCGACCATAGCGTCGCACAATGGAATTTGCCTCACTTCCGAAATGAGCGACAGATGTGGTCGGTTTTCCATTTTGTCTGCCGCTGACCCTAGAAGACATCATCTACGGTGGATTGTGATCGAAGCATCCTTCTCGAAAGAAGATGGCATGATGCTGGAAGAATTAAATGTAGCTGTTGAAAGAAACGTCTCTGAAAATGCCACAAAAGCGGACGAAAGTATCCTTGCTGATCATCAGCAACACTTCAGTGGAGAAAGTACAAAAGCATTTGAAGAGGGATCTGTCAGCACAAAGAGTAAAGGAACTGTGGATGTAGGAACATCCACCCAACCACTGTTAAGAAGCGATTCAGGTACCAAAGAATCCCTTAGTACAAACCGTTCTCCTCATGAAATCTCATGCCTTAAAAGGACGTTTCAAGAAACTCTAGAGCCATATCGTCAGGAATGTTCGACTGTCAAGGAATTTCTTGAAGAAATCACCTGTCAAAAATCATCTTTTCTCCCCTCACACACGTTTCGTCATGATTCACCTAATGCAAAGCAAAGAATTGTTGAAGAGTCTCCAAGCAAGCGGCGAAAAATTGTTGATTACTTTGGCCAGAAAATTAAAAACAGGGAAAAGCGTAACAGAAAGGGAAGTAAAAATGATGAAGCCACTTCGGAAAACGAACAGTCACAAGTAAGAAAGAAAAAGAAAAAGGAATTAAAAAGTGAAAGTAGCCAGAAAAGTAGGAGCCCCACTAATGCTAGTCAAGTGATAATGTCAAAGAACAAAGAGGACAAGAAGAGGGCATCTATATCTTCGCTACATGAAGAAACTGATGAAGATGTAGAAACCACATCTAATACTAGCAGCCAAACGAGCACGTATTCCATACAGGAGGAGGACACAGAATGGCCCAGTGTACCAGATACATACAGTGCTGATGATGTTGCAAGTAACAGTGATTTTAATACAAGTTCCCTACATACAACGTCCACTTCGAGAAATCAAAACGCCGAAGAAATGTCATTATACATGGCGGGAACTAACGACGTCACAGCAGTGATTGTTAACCTTTGGAATCAACGCAAACAGATGAAAAAAGGAGAAGATCTTTCAAAGGAACACGTTGAAAAAAGTCTCGACTGCTTTGTATGTGGGGAGTTGGAGACAAAAGACCAACATGGCTACAATGCACTTTTAAAGGCGTGTTCCTTGCCTTCTATGAGTCCTCATGTAATGCAGCACCTGTTAGTCGTTCGAAAAGTCGACTTAAACTGTAAGCTTCCAGATGACTTTGACAGGGACCACCGCTCAGCCAAAGGGTTAATTCCTGGAATGTCCGCTCTGTCAGTAGCGATAAGGAGACAAAATATAAGCTGCATTTCAACCTTCAAAAGACGAGAAACAGAAACCAATGTAAGAGACGCTGACCAGGAGGGGAACACTGCTTTGCATCACTGTGTTGCATCGGCATCGAAAGGAGCATTCCAGAAGCTGTTCCCACTTTATAAAGAATTAAACTGGAAAACAATGTTTAACAGAGAACTGGAAAGTCCTCTGGACATTGCACAGAACTTGGCAATGGACAGTGCTGCAAAAAAGAAACAAGCACTAGGCTACATCCTTGAAGAAATGGAGAGAAGTAGCCCTTCAGATGTATTCAGGTAAATGGCAATTGACGGCTTTGCTTGCTTCTTTTTAAAGAGGTTATAACCAAAGGATACCGTAAATACTCGATGAAACCCCCCCCCGCGCGCGGTGTGTGTGTGTGTGTGGGGGGGGGGAGGGTTTCCTAGAGAGAGGAGTACTTAAAAAGTTTTTATAGCCAAATTCGTTGTTTTCGCGCTGCTCGTTTGCAAACTTCCAATGGGTTTTTCTGTTCCGTCTATCATTTGCGTGGAGGCGGAGTTAATGCAAATCACAATGCAACGCACTCGCCCAGCTTGGCCCGCAAAAACAAAACTGAGAATGACTCAAGACTGCTCAAGAAAAGCAAAGGAAATCGCGATGATGAGTAAAATTTTTGTCGAGAGCAGGAGGCAGACATTGCTTTATTCTTGCAAGAGACAAGAATAAGAAAGAAAAATCTTTGAAGAAAACTATTCGATTATTGCCCCAAACAGGGCGATCACAAGCAACGAGCCTTTAAACACAGAAATAAACAGAGTAGATCGAAATGCATGAATCACAAGTAAACATGTGTTTCCTAAGAGGTCCGTTAAGATGATTGACGGGACATAAAAACCCAAAATTCTTTTGAAGTTTGCAAAACGCGCAGCGAGATACAACGAATTTGGCTATAAGGTATTTCGGAAAATAACCTTCCTGCACTAACCAGGGAGTATCCACAACGATTTTGACCGGTTTTCACCGTTTATGATAAAAACGGGTCAGAATTTTAACAAGGAAAGGAAATGACACCTTAGCCTTATTGATGATTATACCTAAGTTGCACGGCCCAAATCCCCTGCAGGATTTCAACTACCATGTGGTATGAAAGTTACGAGGATGTTCAATTTCGCGGATGATTTCTTATTAGCTCTGGGGAACCAATTGACGCAAATTTTAAGACTATGGCTATTTCCGGCGAAATCGAAGTCGCTAAGATCGCTTACGAGACGACGATCTTAGATTTCCGTGATTCTGTCGTCCTCGTGGCTGCTCACGCAAAAAATGTCTTGATATGTGACAATTAACTGACGATTTGTCGGAAAACACCCGAAAGAACGACTCTCGTAGGTACTCATAGATAGGCTCAATTTTACTAGATTTCCTGCTTTGAGGGCATGAATGCATCGCTGCAGGTCGCTCGGTTAGAAAACCTGTAATGAAAATATCGTGAGTTAACACGAAGCTAGTGCGATTTTGTCCTTCTCGAGGATTTTCTTCGTTAACTTTAATAAGTCCCTTGGCGAATAAGGACACGTTACATGATTACTTAATTGAGTACGAGTACACTCTTTGGAATACCAAAATGAACATGATAGTCGTGACACAACCCCTTTAACTACATGACAAAGTACAACCCGCCACCAGCCTTCGAGCAATCTCTCCTAATTAAGCGAGGGAAGCGAGCTGCGCGAGAACGCGCGAGCGAGCAGCACCCCCGCTTTCGCGTCTCCTCTCGCGTGCCTTTCGCTCGTCTACTTTTCACGATATCCCCCAAATGGAGAGCTTTCTCGCAGGCTAACCCGGTACAGAACTTGCAAACGCGTTTTCTGTATACGTTCTCACGTTTTTCCATTTGTTGCAGTGTTAAATCATCTGACGAAGAAGACTTGTGATCAAGGAAGAGCTCCAAGTTCAAGAATTTTGATCCCACTAAACATTTTACATTTGTTAACTTTATGTTTTCTACTTACAATTTTATCATGTTACAGCAGTTCTAATTGGAGGACCCCAGATCTCTACACCTCTCGACCACACGTCGTAAGAAGGTCATGATATCATAAATGCGTAACTATTCCGTTGATTTATTGATGCAGTTCAAGCACTATTTAAATCCGAAAGACACGACATATTTTCTACTTAAAGTGACCTTTAAGTCGCGCTCCGGCCGTTGGAGTCTTTTGCGTGAAAGCAACAGAAGTTAGTCAAATACTTGAAAAAGTTTTGGGTAGATACCTCTCCAACATTTTATCTTAAATAGTTTGCAGTGGGAATATATATATTTTTGTCTTGATCAGAGCTTAGTAGAATCTCGTTTGATGACAACTACTAGAAAAACTATCACCTAGTATAGGCTTTTATAATAAGACAGTTATTTCCGTTCACCGGTAACAGCAATTGCTCTGGATTCCCAGTTACCATTGTTCGTTTTAATTTTTTTTTATGAGTGCCTTTTTCATTCAGAGAAGAACCTTTTTACCTCATCAATAGTCTTTATAAAAGAATTAAATACTATTGGTAAACCAACCATATGTTTTACACTTGTTATATTGTAAACTGTTTCCTAAAGAAACTCACATTAACTTCGGTTGGTTCACGAAACAAAAAAACGTAGTTTCAGCATCTCAGTTAGAAATTTATTAACCTAATAATTAACTCTTATGATAAATTCATTATTTTAAGCATGAATAAATAACTTTTTATAAACTCCAGTTTCAGTGAGCCATTCTAACTTCCCTTCAAAGGTATAACTAATGTAATTATAATCTCTTGTTTTACAGTGTTACGTAAAGGTTTTTAATGGTAAAGATACAGCTGTAATCGACTTGTAAAACACTTACTAGCAAGAATATTGGAAACTACATACATTCAAACAAGTAGTCATGGACAAGAATCAACTTTTATTGCAAATGTCTCATTGTATAAAAACAAAGAAAAATTCCAAAGCTTTATCTCTGAAATACAAAGTTCGGCAGTGTCGACTGCGCAGAGCTAAGACGTTTATAGTACAATCCACATTGAAAAAAGCAAACACAGTTTTCAAATTCAATTTTACAGTCAAGCCGGGTCAAGCGTACCCCCTAAGATTCCATTAATGAACTTACTATTCAAAAGTTGAATCTGTTGGTAGTTGTAAATTTCAGATTCATCTCTGCATTTTTGTATGCGTAATAAATGAGCAGGGAATTCACACGCGAGGCAGTTATAAAATTTCTACCACCTCAGTTTCCCTGAATTTGACGTAAATGTCTTCGAAGCAATTTTATCCATTCAAAGATTTTCAATCTGACCAAATACAGAGAAGTTCTCGTAAAATATTCAGAGCTCATTCCGCATGCCGATTTGAATTCGACACCAATTACGGGAACAACTAATGGGTCATTTTCAAATAATCAATTTGTTAATAGAATTTTGGGGGGTACGCTTGACCTGCCTTGACTGTAACAGTGGTTTAAATGTAATTATCTTTGTAGGTATGGTAATGTAGGATAGTAAAATGTATATAAAAATATGTATAAAGAAAGAACTGGATGCACTGAAGTCTTTTCCTTTAGCACTAAAGTCAAAAAACGAAGCAGCCGAAGAAACAGTCATTATATTTTAGGTGGCGTTATATGCTTGAATAAAATATCATTAGCTGTACACTTTGTGCTTTTACAAGGTACTATCTGTTATGTAGACTGCGAACAGCAGACGTATTTCTGGATGGTGTATAAGCTGATTTTAACTTTTGAATTTGTAGATGAAATCTTGTGGTGTGACCATTAAAAAGAAACCTCTTCAGTACTTTCAAGTGGTTTACATGCATAGTACTAGTCATTTTCTTTACAAAAAAGGTATTTTTTTTAAATTTTCATTTTAGATCCTTACCAGTATTTTTGATAAAGGGGTAAATTTGTTAAATTTTAAGTCTTTCATACACCTTTGTCTATTACAGCACTCAGAATTACAGTTCTTCCTTGGGTGTGGTATTAGAAGACTTGTTTTCTGGGGGGACATTAGATGCTTTCCCTGTATAATACTGGTGTGCTAACAAAGCTGCATTCTTTGCACTCACTGCTGACATTTCCATTGCACTGGCGGAATGCTCAATGGCATTGATGTAGAAGACACCATCATCCAGAACAAATGACCAAAATTTCTCAGGGGGTGTAAAGTGTGGATACGCCAGCCATGACACTACTTTGACCTCATTCACACTGCTGAACAGTTCATTAAGTTGAGAATCAGTGAGATCTGATCGTGAAAACACTTTCCGAATGGGTGTGCCCTTTGGATCCTCCTCAGTCCTGTTTTCAACAGGTTGTTGCTTGCCAATGCTGTTAAAATAATTTTTAGGGGTCTCTGTTGTGCCAATCACTTCTGGGATGTCATTTTCAGTTCCAAACCCAAAATGCGTCAAGTTGATTTGGCCGTGCACAAAAGTTGCCACTGTGCGCCAGAATTCACCCAGTTCTTTAGGAGAGGGCCAGTTTCTGCAGCCTTTACAATCAAAGAAATAGCTACTAATTTCTAATGGGGCAGCAACAATCACCATGTCGTATTGTTTGTCTGGAATGTTGCCATCACCTTTTAATGTGTAGACAGGCCTTTCAGTACCGCCATTGTTGTTTTTTACTACTTCTGTTACCCTGGTATTCTTGTACACTGTTGCTTTGGAGCTGGAAAGCAAACCATCACAGACTCTCCAGTTTCCGCCTTCAACTGACCACAAACCTCCTTGTGAACCAGCCAATGACACTGCTCCTATCATAAATAAACTAGAGGTTACAAATATGTCGTTATAATGCTGGGAGCAGATGACTGCCTCATTTACGAGACATTATGCATCAAAGAACTAAGGCCCAGTTTCAAGACACAAGGTGACTCCATTAGTGTGAAACTCTTTGTTTAACTTGTAACATATTAAATATGGTACTTTTCTTTTTAATGATGTACTGTTTATCATCCATTTATAGAACATGTATATGCTAGTTTGACTTGACGATGTCAGAGACTGTCAAAGCATCCACATCTTTTAAAAGTTTCTTTTAAAATTCCTTATAATGTCTTTAAGAAAAGTTTTATCACAGTTTTTTTATAGCCAAATGTTTTTTTCATTTACCCAGTATCTACTCAAAAAGCTAATAATATTTAACAGACCCTTTTAATGGGTCAAGTAATAGTTTATATGGGATAAAGGACTACACATCACACATCATGACTCCTTTGTGGTTTGGGTCTTCATTGCCTAGCTTACAGTCGTACGAAAATAACTCGAAACTGTTGCATGCGCCAGAGTATTCAAAACTTAGTACAAAAATTTTGCAATAGGAGTGCAATAGGAGTGTTAGAATTTTAAATTAAGTTATAATGATACTGCTGACCATTTCTGCTAAAGATCATTCTGACACAAACATCGAGTTAGTGATGGTTTTCTAGTGACAGGACACCCAAGGAACAACAGGAGTCCCAAAGATGAGTTTGTTGCTCACCTGGGAGCTTGCAGTAATAACTGTCTGTTTATAACTTTAACAAACATAAAAAACCTTCAGTCACATAGTTCGCAACTCTGTTGTGCTTTGCTGTACTCAGTACATTTGTATCAGACCAATATGACAATGTAAACATTGCCTAAAGATAGCTTCAAAATTTCCCACTCAACAAATTAACCTTACAGCAATGGTATAGCTGTTGACCAAGCCTTTATATTACGCAGTTTGAGTTTAGGCAAGTTCACTAAACTAACAATGCATGAGGGGCTGTTGCAAGTTGCCAGGTGTTTGCAATTAGTGGCTGGGGAGTGGAACAGCCAGGAATTTCCATGGGCTCTATAATTTTTCCTTCTGGTTTCTAATGAAAGTAACCAGGAGTCATTTCTTCCAAATACATGAAGTGATTCTGAGAGGTAGGCCTTAACTCACAAAGTGTGTCACATTAGTTAATCCTCAAATTCAGATAGTCATGCTCATAGAAGCCATGGGAAATCCCCAGCTGCCATCCCTCAGCGACAGCCCCAATACATGATCAAAAAAGGAATAATTAATTTTTAACTATTAACTTCCAGAAATAAACGTTTGCATAATAATTTAGAAGGATATAATCAAGATCAGCTCAGAGAAAAACAGGACACCTCTGTGGAAGCCCTGCATGAGGCTCCCCCACTGAGGTCATGACTTGTTATGAATTTTTATGGGAGGGACTACCAACTTTTGACTTGAGTTGCCTGCATAACAAGAAGCTAAATTATTATTACTCTATGAAAGTCTTCTTCTAGCCACTTCTATACATGACTAATTGCAGTCAACCTTATCATTTTCTTGCTGTAAGTTATACAGTTCAGCCTCCATTAAGCGGCCGTCCTCTACAAAGAGGCCAATAGTCAAAGTCCCAAGATAATAATTGTAGAAAAGAATGAGAACTTTAACCTCTACTAAGGGGACACCTCTATTAAGCAGCCCCTGCCACCTCTTGGCCATTCCAGTGAGAGTTCTCCCATTGTTGTCACCTCTATTAAGCAGCCATCAAGTGCTTAATACACTTAGTTCGGCTTTATTTAAAAAAATGATGAAGGAAAATACAGCCCGATGTGATGACCAATCGTGGACCAGTATTGTTGCTCCCTTCGAGTGTTTCTTTCACAAAAAAAGTGATGCTTCCCCTAAAGATTATGTATGTTTATGATGAAATTCTAGTAAGCAACCATTTGCCGGTACCCCTCGGGTGACCGCATAATGGAGGTTCAACTGTATTTCTTCCATACCTGCAAACCCATTCAAAGTCACATCTTGACCATAATTGATCCTCATGACAACTGTCACTAGCTCATCAATCAAAGTGGGGTTGAGACTGATCTTCTCCAGTGTCTGTCTTGTTGTCTGCTGTGTGTACTCATACATCTCATTTGCACCCATAGCTCTCAGCATGTCAGGTACGCTTGTGAATGCTTGGTGATTTTCTTGAAATTTGTAAATACTTGAAAAGTTCTTTAACATACTAGTGATGAAATTGTCCATGGTGTAGAGATCGAATAATCCATATCGCCAAATAAGTTTGATATAATTTAAGATTTTCCACCTGCTACCATAAAACAGAAATTCATCACCATTGTAAATCCCCAGAAGAGCGTCTGCCTCATTACTCTCAAGTTTTTTTAAACCTGTTTGTGAAGAGAAATAGTAGGAAACATTTTCTACCAAGAAAGATCTAAACATAGCAGGTTTGATTGTGGCTATATTTCTGTAAAAAGCTTAAAAGTTTTTATCATATATTGTTTCTTAGGGCTGGGCTGACTAAATATTACCCAATGGTCCATATGGGTGAAGCTTTTGATGGTGGCATCAAGCAGCTAACTCTCAACCCATTTATATGAATTAATTTATGTAACTTCTTGAATGTAAGGCTAATTAGGCTGTGCTCTAAGGAAAATTAAAGGGAGCCCAGTGCTCTTAAACTGTAAAATCTAGGGTGCCCAGCATAATGTATTTATTCCTGTAAAGTTTAATTTTTACATGATGGTGATTGTAAAATGCAACGAACTCAGGAAAAAAGAGCATGTCAGACCCAGGTGTGACCCCTGTGTCAGACCATTTATAAATACAGTGCCAAGACAACATTAGCACAGCCTGGTGGCTCTGGCAACTTACTGTTGACTTTCTGTAACAAGGAAATCTTAGTTAGCTTCTATGCAAAACTTACAAGCTATAAAAAATTAAAGGTAGGTAAAGGTGCACATAAGCCATAGGCCTAAACGGCCAGAGCTTATCCTGGTTTTCTTAGCATGAAGCATATACCTAGGAGTATTTCTACTTCCCCCTGGATGGTATGCTTCTCTATCACAGGGTTACCCCCCAGCAGTATGTCACCAGTAACCATTTATACACCAAGGTGAACAGAGACAAAGTGGAGTGAAGTTCCTTGTCTAAGGAAACAACATGATGAAGGAAGCTTGAACCCTGGACCTCTAGATCCAGAGTTCGAGGTGTTAACTGCTCAGCTACACACACCTCCACAAAGCTCTAGTCTTATATTATTATATGCCACAAGCTACAAAGCAGGTTATAAAACTTAATACAGGTTACCCAAAATTCGTAAGTTTAGAGCTATCAGGCTTTTAGAGCACAGCCTTGCAATTAAATAAGCGTGAATATAAATGAACTTGAACTTGAACTGCAGTTAGCATTGTCTAAATTTGGAAGATTTTTGCCAATTTATTTCAGGACATCAAAAATAATAGAAGCCTTAAACATGGACCCACTTATGTCATACATAGACAGTGGCATGCTGGCTCAGCAGCTTTGGTGAGAAAATAACAGCAAGTCAGGCACATTTCACATGTGATGCAAAGATGAAACAGCCAGCTGTCCCAAAAAATGTGAAAATGAACATGGGTTCAATTTGCAGCCTGAATTTTTTCAGGTTCCTTTTAACCAATTAGGTTGTTCATTCAACTGCAAGGATCATGTTCACTTTCATATCCTTATCCACAGTTCAAAATATGATTCATTTCATATATTTCTATAAAATATTCATGTCTCAAAAATATGACCCATTGGAATAACAAGTGAGAGGGTGTTTACATGAGAAAACTTGCACAAGCAGTAGTTCCATACCAGTATGACTACTTAAGTTTGTAGGTCACATTTACATGTTTACAAGTTTTCTCCTTGTCCCACACCATCCTGGATTAACCCTATCAGCCCTGAGATCCACATATAAATTCTCCAGACTGATCTCCACACATTTCTTTTAAGAATAATTGAGAGAATTTGGTTTAAGATCAAAGCACTCTCCCTTTGGTAATCAATTTAGTAATTCTCATAACCTTTACTCTTGATGATCTGCTGATGTTGTTAGGAGAAAATCAATGTTGGTCACTCTTAGGACCCAAAGGGTTAACAAAAATTACCCACTGGCCGTTTCAGTTCTCTCTCCTCAGCAGGGACCTCTTTGCGTCGTAGGGAGGCTTAATTTATTTTTATTGAGACACCCAGTGGAAACCTCTGTGGAGGAGAGAGGTTTCAGTCCACTAGGAGGCCGATTTCAAATCAAAATGAATCGTTGTTCATTAAATGATACTGGTGTTGTAAGATCTCGCACCAGAATGAAATTCTCACTCTGGTACAGCAACTGAATGAATTCAGGCTGGTAATGACTGTTTCTGGTACATGTAGGACAAAAAAAAGGCAACATCAGGTGAATAAATACCGAGTTATGAGAGAGAAAGTGGGTTAACTCAAAAGTTAAAGCAAAAGTTTCCTAGTGTCTTGTATACAGTCCCCCAAACTGAAAAATATTATCTGCTTGGACCATGGCTAGGTTGTTCAAATCTGGGTATCGATAACGCAAGGTTAATGTGAAATTTGAATTCAGATAGGAAAGCTTGAAACCAAATTCAGTGAGCTTAATTCTTTTCGTGTACAATTTGGTAATTGAATGCTCTAAAAAGAATAGGCAAAATTATACTTATCTGAGAAAATACTTTTGAAAAAAGAAGAAAAAGGTGGATTATTTTGAAGTTTACCCCCAGATTACAGTGTAGCACTCATTGACCTTCAACCAACTAGGCCCATGTTATTGTGGTCAAAAGGGAAAAAACTGCGAGTATTTTTGGCCTCTTTCCCCAGCTGGCAAGACTAGTGGCTACTTCTCACTCACAGCTTTATCCAAAGGCATCATAAGCTGCCATAGCCATGCCATTTAATTTCCACAGCTGTTTCCACCACCCTCCTCCCCGTTAAATGGGTGAGATTTCTGAGGGGTTCTTGGAATATTTCCGAAGGATATGAGAAATGATTATTATTTCTGAGGGGGATGCTGTGTTGGTACTTTAATTATTTTTCTTTGTTAAAAGGGGTTAAAGTTTACTTCACTCATCCATTGGGGGCCGGTGTGGCTATGTAAGGGATACCCCAAAGCAGAAACCCTTCGTAAACTTACCTAGGTACTTCACGAAACCCACCATGTACTTATTGTCACGGTGAATTATAGATCCTCCGGATTCGAAGTTCTTACCGGCAATTTTCACGGTAGCTAGACGGCCACCGATTCTATCAGACGCTTCAAATACATCGATGGTAGCTTGTGATCCAAAAAGTTCCCGAATGAAGTGAGAACAACTAGAGCCGCCGATACCTGCTCCAATGACGGCGATGTTGGGATTCTTTGTCCGTTGGGCAGCGCTTACTGTGCGATGTCGTGTTAGGAATAGAGCTGGGATAAAGAGAATGCTGGTGCCTAAGCCAAAACCTAAAACTCTTAACATTGCGCTTAGGAAACAGGGAAAGGGTGGTGAAAAGGTGACTTCGTTTGTAGATTGCCCGGAGGCTGGGCAGAGTTTTCACAATAAGCGCGCGGGGATTGGTGGGAAGAAACAACTTTTTCAGCCAAGTTCAACAAATGTAGCCTGCGTAGCATGGCGGTTTTGTCGAGCCGGGCGCAGGGCTAGGAGCGGCTTAGGAGCGGCGTAGCCGCGTTCAAGTTGCTCCCGCCTCAATCTCCTCGCGGTTTCTCTGCCCTCGACCGCCTTTATTACTTAGCCCGCCCAACCAAAACCGCCATGCTACGCAGGCTACAACAAATGTGACATGGTCCCCCCGGGGGGGGGCACTTGGGTATTTTTTGGGTGGGTATGTGCCGCCCGGGACTCCAAATTGGCACCCCGTTCTAAAAAAAATTCCCCTTAAATTGATACCCCGTTCTAAAAAAATTTCCCCTTAAATTGATACCCCGTTCTAGAAAGGGGTCAATTTTTTATACCTCGTTCTAGAATTCGCCCTAAAACTGATACCCCGTTCTAGAAATGGGCCAATTTTTTATACTCCGTTCTAGAGTGCAACAAGAGTACAACAGTTTGCTTGTTAACGCATTGAAACGTATTTTTAAAAGCAATCTGTCCTTGAATAATTTCAAATGGCTGCTTACCAAACTGGAGCTTTCGTGCGTTCGAAAAATTATACCCCGTTCTAGAAAACGCCTCTGAAATGGATACCCCTTTCTAAATCAGGAGCTTCAAAATCACATAACCATATAGGTAATGTATGGGAGTATCCCCCCCGGGCATGGTGACCGTCGTACTTTTTCCCCCGAGCTCAACCATGATGAGTTCGGTGGTACAGGGAAACGAATGCATGCCACACATCTATTGAAAAAACATATTCCCACCTTTCTGATATGTTAACTGACTGCCCGGGGGAGACCGACTGTTTGTCAAAAGAATTGGAGAAGGAAGAGGAGGAAGTTCGTGAATCAACTTCTTATAGTGGCCAGTATATCTGTCAGCTTAGCTGCAAGGAAAGATATCACAGGCAACCTATGCTATGTTTTTTTTTTTCATACGACACGTGTGGTATCATATTTCACTAGAACTTTCAAGAATAACCTTAAGGTGACTGTTATACAAGACAATTCGCAACGATGATGTTTTAGCACCACACAGCGTTGCAACATTGGTGCGGCATTGTTTTGAATGGTCACAACATTGTTCCAACATTGCCACGCTGTGTTGCGCTAATCGTCGTTGCGAATCGTCCCCTGTAACATCACCATAAGTCAAAATGTACTTGGAACCTACTTGTAAAGGGGTAAAATGTACCTACTTCAACTTGGGGACCATGGAAACAGTCGTAGTTCAAAGAACCCGAAGTTCGCCGCCAAGTTTGCGGAATCACCCAAGTGTAGCTCGCGTACTGCACAAGTTTTGAAGACCGTACGTTTTGGATTCTTTGATGCCCTGGTGATAAGCGTCAAACAAAAGATTTCAAGTGCATTAACCCGGTGATGTTACACGGGGCGATTCGCAACGACGATTTTTAGCGCAGCAGAGCATTGCAATGTTGGAACAATGTTGTAACTATTCGAAACAATGTCGCAACAATGTTGCAACGCTGTGTTGCGCTAAAAGTCGTCGTTGCGAATCGTTTCGTGTGACATTGCTTTTAAGGTGATGTTACACGAGACGATTCGAAACAACGAACTTAGCGAAACAGAGCATCACAGCATTGTTCCGACATTGTTTCAAATGGTTGCAACATTGTTCCAACATTGCAACGCTGTGTTGTGCTGAAAATCGTCGTTTCGAATCGTCTTGTGTAACATTAAGGGCGCACTTCACCCTTGCGGCTGAAAGCACGTGGGCGCGCAACTTGTGCGTTTCTTTACTAAAATGGAAGATCAGATTAAAATTCCGGATCGTTAGGATTCTTTCGTTGAGAAAAGAAAGAATGTATCCAAAAAGGGATTATTTTTCATTCTTTCCAATAGAAACGACCCTCAATATCGAAGGCATCCCGGAGAAAGAATAACACGGCTACTGACAAGGTTGCAAGTTTGCTGATCTTTCATTGTATTCTGGACGGTTAACTTTAGGATACTGCTTTAGACGGGTCTTGAAATAAGATATGTATTGGAAAAGTAAAGTCTTGTAGGACGCGCCGGTGAAGCTTTTTCCTTGTAACCAGGCCCCAGTTGTTCAAAAGGTGGCTAGCGCTATCCAGCGGATGAATCTCTATCCAGTGGATAGTGCAATTGGTTTGCCTAATACTTATCAACTGGATAGTGATTTATCCGATGGATAGCGCTATCCAGCTTTTGAACAACTGGGGCCGATAAAACGGACAAATCAATCGTTTAACCCATGACTCCGGCTCAAAAATGGCCGTAAAGATAAGTAGTCTTGTCAAAAAAAGCTGATGTATTACCGCTGGCAATATTCACTCTTTTCGGATCCGTAGTAAAGAAACGCTTTGGATCATGTATCAAAGTATCCGGTTTTAGATATCACCCAAAGAATCCATCTCCGTTGTGGATCATTTGTCTCATTAAGCCGTTTTTGTATTTTAGTAAAGAAACGAAATATCCGTTTTCGGATTAAAAATCCGGATTTGGATTTCAGTAAAGAAACGTAACCTTCCACAGGGAATGAGCTCTCTCCATTCTTTAGTCACGCAGTTTTATTTTGAAGGCGCATTTCAAGCAGACTTAAAGTAAAATTTTCTACGTTGAGAAAACGGATGTGATCTAATTCTGAGGCAGCTAATAAACTGCAGGCCAACTTGTGTTCGCAAGTAATTTGCATTTAAACACGCAAATGACCAGATAGTGAGTACAATGGATAATAAAAATTCAGATTGCTTTACAGTAAACCACCAAGATCATGATCAATTAGTGTGACTACAGAATCAAGTGACAAAATATGGTCGATGAAAGACAGAAAACTTCATGAAGAACTCACTTTTTATTAGGTACAAGTTCTCCCTTGCATTTGCTATAATGATTTCAATTCTAGCCTACTACTTAACCACATAGCCCCCAAAACTACATCATCTCATGCCAAATAACCCGAAACAGAACATTTTTGTATTTTTCTCCTTAGGAACAAAAACTTGAACTATTATATAGAGCAATCAGCAAGGTTTGAAAAACTGAGTCAAGGAAAAAATTCCTGAAGTATTGGGGCATTAAACTGAAATGCCCAAGTACTTAAAAAAATTTACTGAGTACTAGGGCATTTAGATTACACTATCAGGTGTACTACGTTGTTAAGATCGTGTTAGAGTGTTTGCTATTATTTTGCGAAACATTCAAAGACGAGAATTCTCGCAAACGAAAGGTTTCGTAAGATTTATCTCTAGACAAATTAAAAGTCGATAAGTGGTGCAAAGAACACCCATTCTGCGTTCGTTGAGGGGTTCTTTACCCTTCCCGTAAAAGCGAAATTTTGTTATATTAATTCAATCAACCTTAAAAAATTGCCTCAAGATACCTGTTAGAAGTTTTGTACCAAGAGGGGTCGATTTTTGCAAAACCAGTATAAGGGGATAAGCCGGAACCCGCCAATGAAATAATGAAAAAAAACCAAAGTTAGTTTGAAAAAAAAAAAAAAAAAAAAAAAAATTAAGAGTTATGTTCATAATAAATTTTTACTGACACCTTGGAAATAAAAACATAATAATAAAATAGATCAGGCCAATAATGCCGCTACTTTGATAACCTGTCTGCACAAAACATCGATTGGTGTACAGTTTGTAATACAATGTAAATGAAATTGCAATTTTTTAAATCATTCTCTGAATAATATGGCTGGCTTTTTTGGTTATAGTGTAAACACAATTTGGGATTACAGACCGAATTGGACTAAGCCAAGAGAGGATTTGACTCCACTCAGTCTTGCAACTATTATAAATCAAGGCAGCTGATAGCCAAATAGATTTGAAAATTTTGTTATAGTTATGATTAAAATGTAAAAAAGTTGTTAGTCCTTTGTTACGTAGAGAGTACCACTTTCCGATAAATTATAGTGCAAACGTACAGCAAAGCAAAATCTTAATTGTTGGCTTCACACTAGAGCTTCAAGTATAATGTAAGTGTATTTGGAACCTACTTTGACTGTGAAGGGGTAAAACGTACCTACTTAAACTTTACTTGGTAACCATGGAAACGTTAGTAGCTCAAAGAAGCGGAAGTTCGCCGCCAAGTATGGGCTACACCACGCTTGAGAACACACTTGACCAATAAGAAAGGGAAGCCATGTGCACGATGTGCACGTGCAGCGGTTACAAGATTCTAATGAACGGAGAAATTGACAGCTTTTACTTCAAGTAGTACACTTTGTTGAAGGGTGTGAAGCCATGTTTTCTATAGAGCAACTTAAGATTTCCAAGTGCACTTGAATCAAGTACTTACTTGAAATAGACTTAGCTTCTAGTGTGAAGCCAAGTAATATAATTGCCACTGTCTCAAGGGAATAAATAGTCCTTTGCACTGGCTATTTAACGTTATTACTATTCCATATTACGGTTTAATGCAAAAAGCTTTCTGAACATGCATGCGGTGAAGAGATTGACTCAACAAATTGACGCAGGTCTGACACTCAGGCTTGCAACACTTCTCCCCACGAACGACAAAGACTTTTGACGAAACTGGATACTACTGTATAGTCACCTTGCCGACCGCGACTCTGTTGTATTGCGCGACGTCGTACTCACCGTGTGACAGTGACATACAAGCACATACATGTTTGCATCCCTGACACTGACAATAGCTAAACAATCTGAACCATTCTACGGACCACAACCCAATAGCGCCTTATGAAATAACTTGAACATGCCATTATCGTAAAGCTTGAATGTTTAGTTGTGGTGGACTCCATTGGCTTGAGGCTGGGTGTTGCCGATGTTGTACATGCAATCGAGGAAACAGCAGGCCAGTTCAGTAACTATGGACCTGTCAGGAATTCCTTGAGCCATTCCATAGATTGCAGCCTATAACAAGGGACAACAAACCTTAATTGTTAAATGAACTAAACGAACAAAGTGATCGCCGTACGTATGCACCCAACTTAAAGCCACTTTCTGTAACGCATTTAATCGAGGTGTCCGTTAAGAGATAGTTGATTTACAGGGGTCCAGTTCATGTAGCCAGTGCTTTAACTCGTGCAAAGCAAAGCAAACAAACAAACAACAAAAGAAACTCGTCTAAAGAGACTGTGTTTGGTGTACAATTTTCAGCCTGTTTTAAATTAACCTAACAACATACCATGCCTTCGGTCTTTGCCTGAGGGTCATTGAGGAGTTTAGCGCAGCACTCTTTCACATCCTTAAGAAATAACTCGGCCACACCAGCTTGAGTGTTAAGGTAAGTGACACAAAAATGGATACTGCAAAAAGGAATCAAACCAGCTTCAACTGTAAGACGATGTTCAAGAGAATCATGAATAATGAAGCAACCAGTTCACACAGTGGAACATCCATGAGTATATTAACTTATAGCAGAAACCCATAAGGGGTTGAATTCAACCCCTTATGAGTTTTTGCTTATAGTTCAAACTCAAGTCAGTGTGGTGGAAATGGTCAGGTCACAATTATTGTTCCCTACGTGTTGTTTGGTATTATAGAGCTTTTTATTCTGGCCCCGGTTTGTTCAAACGCTGAATAACGCTATCCACCGGATAAATCACTATCCAGCGGACAAGTATTAGGAGAACCAATTTGTGTTATCCACTGGATGGAGATTTACCCTGTGGATGGTGTTTTCCACCTTCTGAACAACTGGGGCCTGATCTATAAGGTTTCATTAACTTCTAGAGGCAAATGTAGTCATGAGTTTAACATCAACTATACAGCATAACAGTTTGCAGTGAATGGGAGTTAACTGGGCATTCAGCCAAGTCTCTATTCATCTCGTCTGAAACTATATATTTTTTTTTATATTCATATGGATAAGCCAGGTCTACTTGCAAACATGGTCATAACATGTCAATAAGAAGGCAAGCAAGCAACAAGCTATTGCGATAACACTTGGCGAAGAACTGCAAGCAAACAACTGCGTATACAAGTCACGAGGAGCCCCTGCTAGAGGCATTGGGCCAGCGCCTAGCAAAGCTGGAAAAACTGCTGACCAGCATTGCTTTGAGGTTAACTTTGCCTAAATTACATTTAGCTAAATTTTCTGCCATGAAGAAACAAGGAACACAAACCTTGAAGGAAACTGAAGTGAATTGAGGTTCCAGCCTCGTTTGGTTAGAGCATCTCCAAGCTGATAAATATCAAAGTCATTTGATGCAAACGCTACCACGCTTACTTCAGGTTTGCCAAGTACGTATATTCCTTTGATTTTTCGTAGGCTACAGCAAAGTAAGAGAGACAACAACAGTTATATATAAAGGCTGCCATCAAGGAAAATTGCCTGGTTATCTCTAACAGTTACTTATACAATTATGAAAGTATTGCTGCACTCAAGGAGCAGCTGAAATAAGGACATACATGTAATTATGCAAAACAGGCGGTAGCCAAATTTGTTGCTGAGAGAAGACGAATAGAGGGCTATATCATTCACCAGGATATTGCTGTTTAAGTCACTTATGAGCTAAAGTCATTATTTAGTGCCTTTACCCATGAAAGTACAACCCCCTGCCCCTCCCCCTCCCCCTCCCTTGGGATGTCCCCTATGTCTATTGCTTAACTAATAGCGGAACTCTCGCGCGTAGCGGAGCACCATGGATACGTGTGCATCCAAGAAATTTTGTTTCTGAGAAAATCGTCTGTACGTCCACACGTTCATGTGAGCCGGGGTGGAATTTCGCATTTCAAGCATCCGCGCGTTTTGGAGGTTAATTGCATGGCCATCCGGACTTTTTGAGAGTAAAAACAACAACAAAGCCATGTCTATTTTCGACTAAATTTTAATGTCTAAACTGACGTCGATAACAGAGAAAAAGCTAGAGCGAGAGATAAAAAACAAAGGAGACTAATTTCGACGGAAGGACAACATGAAAATTTTATATCGGTGGTGTGAGAGGTGAAAATGAGGTGAAAATGAGGTGAAAAAAGGTGAAAATGAGCGGCAGTGAAAAATATAGTGAAAAGGAATTCATACCACATTTCCTCAATAGAACGTGAATAAACTAGGAAGTCAACTGAAGAAGACTTCTCCACCTTAAGCACTAAGACTTCCTAACTGAGCTTCATAAGGGTTACAGAAAGGAGTTCAATTCCAAATCCCAATAGGTTCAATAGTTTAGAAGTCACAATGCATGTGTAAGCAATGCATCTGTTAACAAACTGTAAGAGAGTGTCTGGGGATGATCAGGATTAAGGCTGTCAAATGTTATTATCTATGCAAGGAACTAATAGTTTTGTCTACGAAGGAATTTTAACATAAAAGAGCTACTTAAAGCTCACTTACCCTTCCTCAATTTTCATTCTAGTTGTAATAATTTTTCTTGTACTTTCAACATAACCTAAATTAGAAAGAAGGTAAAAAGAAAGGCACTTGGTTTTGCATTACTTTCACGGCAGACTGGGCCCTGCAGGATAAGTAGAATTAGGTAAACAAAAACCTGGAACATTAAGCTGATCAAAAACGATAATGAGTATCTTTGATGCTGTCGGTCGCACAAAACTTATGACATCATGACATGTAGCTCTAAAAGAGTTATTTAGTTTATACCTGATTCTCCAAAGTGCATCATTGCTGCCCATGTTGCAGCGATAATTGCACCAGGCCTACTGCCAGGTATTGTAGGACAGGCATAGATTCCACCCTGCCAGTCGGGTGCTACAAAGAACTGAAAAAAAAAGAAAGGTATTTATGTGCCTTATAACTTTCTTCTAGCAGTCATTGCCATCCAGAGACTCATTCATATTTTTTCTAATGTCATAAATAAAAAGATAATCTACTTCTTTGAACCTCAAGTTAACACAATTAATGCACTGGTACCTGTCTAGGTGTGGTAACTGTTATTTTATATGGTTATGGCAATGACAACTTACATGTACTTAAAAACTCATTTAACCTAAGAGTTAAGACTAAAGGTCAACATTTGCCTAGTCCCTAGGCCTCGTTATTCTGCATGGCCAATTTGTTTCGGGATACATCACCGAAGTGAATAGCCTCCCCGCAGACGTCCTTTGGGGTTCGTTCGTCACGCATTCATTTCTCCCCCACGGCAAATAAACTCCGTCGGCAAATTTATGAACTCATCGGTCTATCTTCTCTACTTTTTGCAGGATAGCTTCTCTCTGACAGTTGTTTTACTCTGTAATTACAAATTTCTCGCACACCCGATCAAAAGCCTCACTGATCGTGCGAATCTGAACAAGCGGCTCGGGTTACGTTTTACAAAAATCTTTTAACGGCCTGTGATTGGTGAACATAAATGTCGGCTGTGTTTAGCAGATGTCAGTGTGGGAGAAATGCATGCGTGACGAACGAACCCCAAAGGACGTCTGCGGGGAGGCTACGAAGTTAATTGACCGAGAACGCCTAGGAAAATTAGGCCGTACAGGGACTAGGCAAGGTCAACACAACATAATGTGATTCCAATTTTATTTCTCAAGACGACATCCCACGATGTGATATCAACAGCCAATTTTCTTATAAAGGAGTTTTTCTTAAAGTTTCCCTTTAACCTCCAAAAAAAGGCAGAAAAAGTGAATTAAAAGAAGAGGGGAGGAGATAGGGCAAACAGTAAAAGTCAAGCACAAGGCTGCTGTGTCACTTTAATCAAACCAGAACTATTAGTATATGTCTGGAAAATTTTGCTTTCTGATCATGCCTTAACTTTAATAGCTGATATTTTGCATCTGGTAGTAAAGAAGGCCGGGAAGTGCTCAACTTATCATTTGGCGTTTTAAACAAGACAGACAGTGACCAGAAAACAGCTTGACTAGCTTGAAAAGGCGATTTTGGGCAACACTGCCAGGGGCGGAACAGTTAGAATCCTTACCTGAAAATGCCTAAGGTGCTTGTTACTGTACAATATAACTGAAGATCCTTTTGGTGAAAATCCATACTGAAGAAAAATAAGACTGTCTCAATTCAACCTCAACCAACTTCAGCTACATATGTAGCTTATCAGGGATACTAAATTATCAATCATGCAAAACTGAAAAGGAAACATTTGCAACCATAATAATGAATATTCTGAATCACTGAAGAAAACTTGATGGTTTCAAAGAAATGTCTACAAAGTAAAAAAAGTTACTAGTAAGAAGTACATGTACTAGAAGCTTAGGGGGGTGTGTTAACATGACACCTGGGCAACTTCTGTGCTGGCACGAAGTTCACTCAGGTTCCCATGGCTCCTTATTTGTTTGCACAATACCACCACAAAAATGTCATGTCACACCAGCATGAGTTCACCCTGGTTGTAGTCTGTGAAAGAGAATTTCACTCAGGTACAAAATTTTGCAACAGTATCATGTAAATGACAAACCACTTGTTTCAGTGTGAAATTGGTCTGCCAGTAGACTGGAACAGGTAGTGCATGCGTAATTTGGGCAATTTAGGATGACGTAATCATGTTGGTCATGGGACATTGAAAAAACATGCGAACATGTAAACACAATACAAAATCAAGAAGTCATCTCGGCGTGAAACTCACACTGGTGCGAGTTTTCTCATATTAACACCCCCTTAGTGCCACATGACATACACGTAATGGCAATGATAATCAGATTGTCACAAAAGGAAATGACTAATATCTGTAGACTAGCATCTCTTGAAGAACTGTACCTTATGAGTATCACATGATATACTGGTTACACCTTCCACTGAAAAATCAAACGGGGGAAGATCAAACCTATAATAGAGGAGAGCAGCAGACAGTTAATTCAAAACCATCTTTTGATTTTGAAATCAAGTATGTAACACAGCAGAAAAGTACAAAGAGTTATGTTGAAAGATATCTTCAGTGCATAACTTTGCCTGCCACTCACAAAAGAAACCAAATACAAAACTAATAAAAGAACAATAAGTAATCTAAGAGTCTAAGGGACATGACAAACACCAAACTTGAGGATCTAATACCTTACCCAGCTTTCTTCATGAAGGGAATCAAAAATCCACCCAAGCAGGAGTCTACATGGAGTCCCAGGTTGTATTTCTTAGCAAGCTTAGCCATTTCTACAATGGGATCCATAACACCATGGGGAAACTGTGGTGCAGATCCAACAAGCTGGAAAAATAAGAAAAAACAATAAGCAGGGCTGTCACTGAGATTTCAAATAACAGGGAAAATACATAGAGTGGGTGGGGAATCATACAGCTGTTGATTTCCATGTTCATAGAAGCCAAGGACCTGAGCCCTTAATGACAGCCTTGAATAAATAGAGCTCAATTCTGAGACAAGGACGACTACAATACGAGATTTCCTCAATACTGAGTTTTGCTCATGCGCGAACTAGCGTCATCTCTGCGGGGAAAAGTGATAGCCATTGTCATTCTACAACCGGATTTAGCAAGAATGTCGTAGTGACGGGAACAAGTTATCAAATAAAAATGTTAGAAGTTTTATCATTTTGCTATTGGGAGAGGGCTCAGCCTCCTTCAGTATAAATAACTGGACTAACTTTTTTTTTGGTAAAAAAAAAAGATAAAATAAAAAGAAACTTTCTGCAGAGTCTTTTTTTCAGAACACACACAAAAACTTAAAGTTTTAAAAATCTTGTCCTTGTCCTTACATCAAAAGCACCCTAATAATATGATTCAAACTTATGAGGCTACCACATTTTTTAACATCACTTTCTTCCCGTTAGTTTCAAAACCTACATGTAAAAACTAACTTTCAAAAGGCAAGTTAAGTTGTTGTTAACAAACACCCACATGGTTGACTGTACGTAAGCTAACTGGTACATAAATGGACATTCCTCATTAATTTAGTTGACATTTTAATACCAATTTCCATTAAATCTACAAATCCAACAAAAATTCAATTTTAACTAAACTATATATCATTATTTTCAGATCTATCCTTTTCATATGACATTTTATCATTAATTTTATATACATGGATGGGGAAAACAGTCCAAATTACTATAACTTACTAGAATTGTGTTCTTTGTAATAGCCTTCTTCATTGCCTAAACAGAAAAGCAAAAATTTAAGGATGGCCATGATGACACTTTAGTTGATCATTACATTTCAAACTTACTTCCTTAATAATGGTATAATTACCTTCATATTGCATCTTCTTGTTTTCTCATCAACAGGAACGTGGACTAATTTCATGTTGAAATAATGTGCTGCCTAGATACCAAGTAGAGAAAAAAAACTCTGAAACACCATAAATCGAATGGGAGGTGCTTTGACGACACAGCAAACAGCGTGCAAAGAAAGTCATGTCCCATAGCCTGGGGCTGGTGGATTTTGCTATCGGGCTAGTGATTTTTGTTCTTAACTTGCCTGATGGGCAAGTGCTGTTTTTTGGGGAAAATCAAATCACAAAAGGATTGTAATCAATCCTGCTAATCAAAAAGGGTTTTGGGGCTAGTTGAAATGACTTGTGAGCTAGTACATACTAGTTACAGCTTGCCCGAATGGCAGGCTGTAAAAATGACTTTCTTTGCACCCTGGCGAACCTTTAACACTGAAAGTTAATTCAGGAATTATAGTTCTATGTAGCAATGACAATACAAAATTGCCAGCGGAAAAGGGGCCATTAATTGTGTAACAAAACACCCCCCTCCTACAAAACAAAACAAAAACGAAATACGATCCCGGCGTCGACGCCATATGTGTGTTGAGTTTGTTGTTGGTTCTCTCCTTTGCTGAGAGAGGTTTTTCTCTGGGTACTCCGGTTTTCCTGTCTCCTCAAAAACAAACATTTCCAAATTCCAATTCGACCAGGAATCAGGTAGATGAAGAACCACTATGAGGATGAGCTACCTGCAAATCGTTATTTATAAATAACTAAAGAGGGCTATGATGAACATATTGAAATACCTTATCAAAAGCTGCATGTACACTAACTGGTGCCACACTGAAAAAAAAAGAAGAAAACAATAAGATTCAAATATTTTTACAGGAATAGACCTATTTAGCTAACTCAATGTTGTATCCAATTCAAACCCTTTGGTTATAAAACGTTTTGTTGCAGGAATTTCCATATCATTTAAATGTGAATCCCACATTATAATGTGCAAATACAATACACAATCTTAACCCTGGGAGATTTGAATTGAGTACAACAATGAGTCAGCCAAATGAGTCTATTGTGTCATATTAGTAGCAGAAGGATGAATAAAAAGGAAAGGGGAGAGCCAAATACATATACATTTGAAAATTACTTATGTTAGAACTCAGAAGCTGCTTCACCCACTGACAGCTTATAGTTTCAGGGCTAAAAATAATTCTTGGACAGTGGTCGGGCATCTTGACTAGCCAGACAAGTTTTTGCTTGGTCATTTTTCAACAAGAGATCTGGCTACAAGACTTGGTCATGGCTAGTTTCTGACTGTTAATTGGCATTCAAAAAGCCAGCTCCGAATTTATATCTGCAAAATGGCTAAATATTTTATGATTTAACTGTTTTTTTGGGGGGTTTACAGAATTAATGTGCATAATTTTTTTTCCAGTTATTCATTTAAAAGTCATGCACTTGACCAGTCAAAATGAATGGCCAACTAAAAGTTTGTCTGTACAAATGGTCATCTTGGTCAGACATTGTTCACTGACCACTGAAAACAATAGTTGCGAAGACAGCAACATGAAGCTTCTTATAATATAAGCATGTACATTTCAGTTTGCTTCAGAGTCAGTAAAGCTTCTGACTCATTGGAGGCGATGCTAGGCATCAAATTCAAATTATTTAGTTTTTTGATTGTCTTACAGCAAAATTGGGACTCACATCTCAGGCCTTTCAATTCCACGATCATAGGCCCAGTCACGGTAAGACTTGCAAGCCAACAGAAGACTCTCTGTACCTCCAGAGGTCATCTAAAGTGTGCAGAGATTATCACCATTTAGCCATGTAACACTACAACATTAAGTAACACCTATATATGTTTAATTGATTAAAGAGCTGAGGAGAATTTAGAGTAGATCATCCAAGGTGAACTTGCTTGCACTCCTGATATGTACAGTGTAAGAACCAAACAGGACAATTTGCATTTTGATATTTAGAATTTTTTTGAATGCTAATTGCCCTTATAAATTGCCAAATCTCACCACGAAAAACTTACCAATGAACTAGAGATATTTACAGTGCAAGTAATGCATTAGTCTACTGAAAAAATGAAATATCTAATTTACATTGAAGAGAAAAAGCGGACTCAAGTTAGATTTGTGACACCTTTTTCCCCCAATCTTGAGATACGCTAAAAATGGCTGTAGAGGTTAGGAAATAATAACATTTAAAACAATGATCTGGCATTTTTTCTTGTGTTGCCGATGTATTGTATTTCTTCCAAAGTGAAAGGGTGCACATGTCACTTGAGGAAAGCCACACACCATCCAGTGAAGCAAGGTTATAAATGCAAGGTTATAAACTATGACATACTGCTTCCACAGTTGTGTTGCAAATGTACGAAAAGTAATAATAATATTAATAATAGCAAGGATTTCTATAGTGCCATATCCATAGGCTGTCTAATGGCAGTCATTAGTGTGTTTACCGTTCCACAAGCTTCCTTTCCTCCCTTGAACATATTAACACACATCTGGACAACTTCGGCTTCCATCTTCCGCACTGTTTGAAATAAAAGTAACAATAGATTGATAATCAGTTGAAAATAAATTACTACATTAATTAGCCAGCCTTGACATGATAGTTGGAAATGAGAATGTCTATAATTTATGTAGTTGTTCTTCCTTTAGCAACAAATCATTATCTCATTGAAGGGAAAAAAAAAAGCGATGTACTACTCACCATCTGGGAAGATATCAACGTGAAGAGGATTGGACCAAGCAAACTTTGAATATACCTACAACAAACACACACAAAAATTCTTACCACAGTACACAGACGTAAATAGTATTAAAACAAAGTCTGTCTGTTTTTTTTTTTTTGGGGGGGGGGGATGTTTTATTACCAATGTTAAGTAAGAGCATTTTCCATGATGTGGCAGTCTTCTCTGCACCATGTTATGTATTGTAATATTATCACGTAATATTGTAAATTATACATAAGTTCAATAAAGTTACTACACATTAAAGCAGTTTTGATTGGATGATTGGTATATAAACTCTAGACATTTTCAAATGGGTATTGACAGTTAAACAAATTGGAAAGCATTTTACCAGTAAAATACCACTGCACTTCAAGTCCCAAAAATACCTTAGTAAGCAAATCAGTGAGTTCTTTACTTCCACAATAAACTGTTCCAGAAACCCGACCTTCCTGCCACTTTACATTACCTGAGAATCAATGATATATCAATATTACACTGAACAGCAGAAACGTAATAATAATGTGTAAATTGGATGTGTGTAATTTTTTCTCCTCTGCAAGGACTTTAAGGAAACTCGATAGATGCCAGCAAATTAAGTGAGCACCCAAAAGTCAGTGGTAGTCAAGACAGCAAATGAGTAACCCATGTTCTTGCAGAATTCAAATTTTACAAGCATGAAAACGCACTTCTGAATTCTGCTTTCAACCATAGTTTTCTTTCTCCATCACTTTCCAACCATCTGCTACCTCATTCCGCACACTATCCAACTCAGAGTCTGAGAAAGCAGAAACATCTTTCTTGCACTTAAAACATCAACAGCATTATCCTGAAATATAGATTATGAATGATACAAGGCAAGGCCAACATACCCATTTTCAAGTAATCATCAACTTCTTTCAGGAGTTCTTTCTATAGATAGTGAAATAAAAGTACAATAAAAATATAGAATAAAATATTGTTATAGAGTGATAAACAGGTATGTAGTAGTACATCTTTTCATTGATGGTTTAGAGTTGAGAAAGAAAAAAATTGCAGTTGCTGATGATGGCTGCACCTTAATGGTATCAATTTCTGGCTACTGCAAAGGAAAACTGATGTTTTATTTTCATGAACAAAACAAACTAATACTTTTTGTGTTCCTCAAATTAATGAGCACTTATAACTGAGCAAACATGAAAAATAGAAAATTCCTTTTAATCACCTCTTTCATTCCTTTTATTGGCAGCTAGAAAAAAAAGCAGAGAAAAAATTTATTAAAAGTGAGAAAAATAAAATTAATAAATAAATATCAACTATTTGTGTCATACCAGATGCACATTAATATTTACACTGTACATGTACACCACACTCACATTCCACATAGTTACAGTGTAAAAGCTGCTGATATTGTATACATATATACATTATTCAGGGTGTCAAAAATGACGGGGGCCAGGGATTTCCCTGACTATGTATCAAGGTCACCCCTGTTACTTTCATAGGAAAACAAAAGAAAAATAGAACCAAAAGAAATTCCTAACTGTTTGATTCCCTGCCTATCTACCTGCTGTATTTACATGGCAACAGTGATACTTGTATGTCAGCTAAATACATACTGTGTAGGTGATCACTTTTTAATAAGTGAACTATTGGATGATAATAGAGGGGGTTGCTACAATGGAGGTCAAAAGTGTTGGGACCTTTCTAGTGATATTACCAAAACTAGCGACCCCTCCCCTCCCACCCCGAACAAAGTTGGATTTGGAGCAAAATGGGTGAAAATGAGTGCTTCTTTTGGCCACAACATTGCTGGGGGAAGTGGGGGGACGACGGGATGAACCCAAAGCTGAGCAAAAAATTGTCCTTAGGAGCAGAGTCCTACGGAACTATTGCTTGGAAGGGCTTTTTCACACAGTCCCAAGTTCTTTTGTCCTCCATTGTAGTTTTCTCTATCACAAGTTGCTCAACAGGCAAGAAAAGTATTAAGTATTGTTAGCAACTGAATCTTGCACTTGCCCTTTTGCACTTCATTCTATTAAAAAACAGCAATCAACAGCCTCCTAATCATACTAAAAATGGTCTAGGCAATTCTCAGACCTCCGTAGTCTACACCAAACTTGTGACCATTAAACACAGATGCACAGTGTAAGCTTTCTAACAGAGGTTTGATGCAATGAAAGCTTACTTTCAAGCAGCTCTTTACAAACACAACTGTACGCTTAACCTTCTCTACAGCTTCCACCTCCAACCACAACCACAATTTTACACTTTCAATTTACAGTGTAAGTGATTTAATGTACTGCACATGACCATCAGACCTAACTATTCACTATCTACAAGTAACTTACCCTCATGTGAAAAGTTTCTCCTTCTCTCACTGGAAAGGCTGTCCTCTCCATTGCATCCACTGACTGCTGCATTTCATTAGCTATCTGTTGACATTAAAAGACAAAGGGCACTGCTGTACATCATTACCACTGGATCAAGAAAAATCTGACTTAACATCAGGGTGGAACTGGCAGCCTTCAATAAAATTGGCTGGACAGCAAATATCCAAAGGGTAGAGGTAAATACATTGAGAGCTCTAGTATCAGTCAGTAATCATTGAGGCACAGTTTGATACAACATACATGTTGTTGATACATGTATGAACAAAATTTAATGCAATGTAATTTTGTGGATGGGGGTACAGATATAGATATCTCTTACCCTGTCTTTCAAGTATGGTAATCTTCTCACTAACTTAAAAAACCCTTTCTTCACTCTTTCTCTGAGACCTAAAATTGCAAATTGCAGCGTTGATCTTTTTTCATTACACTTTACGGATAAAATAGTATTAAACACTCATTTCTAATGGATTAGAATCAGTAAATGAGTAAATGATGTGGAAACATTGATTTGTAATGGGAGTCCAAAGAAATCAAGGAGATAATTATTATTTGTTTGGACTACAAAGCAAACGTTTCATCATATACTCTAAAAATTTCCTCATGCATATATAGAAATTATTTTTTTATTATTATCCTTCAAAAAGCACACTCTTCGACTCTCGTCAACAAAGTTAGGGCTTGCCAAACATATTGTGGACAAATATTCAACCTCTTCAACAAGCAGTCAAACACTTTGAACGGTTTTTTGAAAGCATTTGAATTGATAACGAATGGATAATGAATGAATAACGAGTGGTTTTCCCCTTGACACAGATAACCATGAGTGCCTTTTTTGCCTTTCAGGGTTGCATCTTTTAATGTCATGTCAATAAGCCACACCTTTGATCTTCAGCCTATCATTTTAACTGGGTTGCAAAGGGCCTTAACATGCAATGCAGCTAGATTTTGAAGGAGTGATAGACAGCCTCAGGGAACCCCAGGTGCAAGGGGGCCAACAAGATAAGTTTTGTACTAGGGTCCTTTATTTGGTGTCCTCATTAGTGAGAGTCCGTAACAGCAGGAGTTTATTATGTCTGTAATTTATTTTTGCCCCGGATTTAGCTGCTATCCATATTACTGGGAGGTCCGTTAGAGCGGGGTGTCTGCAGGGCAAGAGTTGACTTTATATATGTATGGTTATTGTTACAATTTGGCACTAGGTATTTATTAATTTTACATTTAAATTTTAATTATTGTACTTATTATGAAACTGAAAATGCACCTTAAATCTTACTTTTTTCTCGGAAGAAGGCCCAACCAATCACCCATCGAAGAACTTCTGTCATAAGCCAGACGCAAAAACAGTAGGTGACTGTGTTTACAACAATCTGCAACATAAATAGATAAATAATATTAATCAAATACAGCCCAGTCAAAATATTTTGCAGAAGAAAAAAGGTTAACAAGAGTATAAAGCACCAAAGGATTCATCCGAAGTAGTTTTTACTTAATATTATTTTTTAAAATTGAGTGGTGAGTATGCAGCCAATTATCCCCTGAAAGTAGCAAAATTGCCGGCTGCTGGTTTATTTTGAGTGGGCTGAAAAAATTAAAAACCAGTTAAATCTCCCATGAATGACTTATCAAAATGCCAACAAAAGCAGTCACTTACGGAAGGTGGCTGCTTACAAGGAATCCACAGTCTTTCCACAATTACCATTTTCTCAGAAATATATTAAATATATTTCTGAGAAAATGTTTCTTAAAATTATTCTGGTACAAGGTCTTTGTCCACTGAAAATTAAAATTCCACCTTAATATCTTGCTATTTTTTGATGTCCCATTCAATTTAGAGTTAGAAGAAGCTGAATGTAAGCCAGAACACTACTGTAACTTACATAATAGCTGTTGTTAAGTTGTTGTTCCACAAGTTGCAACTTGAAAATACAGGCGACTCCGATAACTGGAACCCTCGCTAACTCGAACCTCGCGCTAACTTGAACCCAAATCGATTTCCCCTGGATTTTACCCTCGGTAACTCAAACCCTTGATAACTCGAACTCCCGCTAACTCGAACCAATTTTCGTCTCCCCTCAGGTAATTGTCTATACAATTTTACCCTTGATAACTCGAACCATGTTTTGAGCCCTTAAAAAGTCGGGAAAAAAGCCGTCTACTGGTGTCTGAAACATTGAATTTTGGATTTCTTATTGACGTGTTGTAGGAGTATAGTTTACTAGTGGAGGCTGATGTTGATTGTCACAGGCTAACGTAAAGCAGCTTTGCTTCTCAAAACAGTAAAACGCATGCTCTATTTAGGCTATGTTTTGTTACGTTACGCTCTGATTTATAATCTAGAAGTATCTTTTAATTTTCACTTGACATTTCTACAATTAGATGTGATTAAGATGTTCAATGTGCAGTAAAAACTGTTTTTTCCCTGTTCCTCAGCTACTTTCTTCGAACTCCCGATAACTCGAACCTTTTTTCAATTTCCCTTGAAGGTTCGAGTTATCGGGAGTCGACTGTAATCTGATTAGGAACGAAACGTATTCCACCGTATCACCATACTGTATGCTATGTGATGGAATACATCGGGAATACCATAAAATTCCGAAAATAAGTCCCGGGGCTTATATTTTTCAAAGACTCTTTTTGAGGGGCTTATTTTTGGAGGAGCTTTTATTTGGAGGGGCTTATCTATGGAGGGAAATTTCCGTTTCAAAACTGATTGGGCTAGCCTTATAGTTGGAAGGAAATTACCGTGCTTGCCTTGTTTTACTTTGTATTTGAGGGCAATTTTCCAAGCACAAGCCCCTGGGGGGGCTAATATTTGGAGGGGCGATTTAACGGAGGGTTTTTTGTTACCGGAATGGGGGGCTTATACTTGGAGGGGCTTATTTTCAGAATTTTACGGTAACTAGTCAAAATAGTCTAAATGTTCCGGGAAACATTCTCCGAAAATTGACGTTCAAATGTCACTCAGGAAGTTCAATTCTCGTGTGGCACTGAATGACCTTTACGTAAACCCTGGACGTTGTGTCACAATTCTCGATAACCTAACAGCTTAAAATAACTTAAAACCATGGATTACTGGGCGAGAGAATTTTCTTTAAAGGAAAGCTACAGTGACCAAATCAATAGAAACAACTTGCTCTTAAAGAATAACCTCACATGCACAGGTGTAAGCTTATTTAAAAGTCCCAGTTAACCTGAGTTTTCACATGTTCGAAAAAAATAAAGCTTATCTTGCCTCCCAAGCTTCCATTCCTCTGCACCATCGATGAATATGGCGCCTTGCTTCAGCCAGATAATAAACAAATGTCCACTAGAAAGAGAATGAAAAAGAATAAGATTGCATAACGCTTTGACGGCGGCACAAGTTCACTTACCGGTACCGGTAAGCTTTATAGTGCAAAATGAAGCAGCCTATACTTTAATACTCGCTTTAATAGCATGTAAAAATGGCTCGAAACTTACGCATATTTCATTCCAGTGAAGGTGTTCAGGTAGATGAGGCTCTACCGTATCTAAGAACCGCTCCCACAAAGTTTTTTCCAGCATGATAGAGGTAAACTTCCCACGTACCCGTCTGTTGCGTTCGGCAGTTGTGTGAGCTTTTCGTTATCCTCCTGTGAGGGTCACGTGATGACGTAGGTACCGGAAATACAGGTTTTTGTTGGCTCGAATAACATCCTAATGCTTTTTCCGGTTAGATGTTTTGGAGTGTTTTTGTCGAAAAATTTGAGACTTGATTTGATTTAATCGGATTATAGATTACCCCATTATATTCTTACATATTGCGACAAACCCACTTGATGCTAATCTCAAGTAAATTTTATTGCATTCGAGATTTCAAAGGTCATGACGCATAGCCGGAATTTCATGGGAGGATTCGGAGGAAGTATTACGCCCGGGTATTACGAAAAATAGTGAATGCCGACAAATAAGGGGCCGACCATTTAACTCTTGAGGGAGGGGCTGGGTGATTTCTGGTCATCAAGAATTTTTTTTCTGGCAATCTGGTAGGCAGGATATTTTTTCCCTTTTTTTTCCATAAGCTTTCTATTACATTTGTGCTGCATGCAATTTTTTTCTTCCGACAAGCGCTTGCAGGAAATTTTTTTCAAAATCACCCACCCCACCGTCAAGAGTTAAATGGTCGGCCCCCAACATTAATAAGAGCGTGAAAATCAATCCGATCCGGGAAACAATCGTCAACATTCGTAAATCTTCCGGTAGTATTCGGAATTCTCCGAGGCACCCTCACCGGGTGATGCTTGAAATTGAATGTCGCGCTGCAGTGACAAGAAATGTATTCGCCGCGTGTAGCGCTGGAAGGAGAGTAATGGCTCACGATAGATATGTAGAACTTGAAAGGCATCCTCTTGGTGGTTTTGGCTTTAGTGTGATTGGAGGAGTGGACACCCATCTTCCGCCTATGGTCTGTGCTTTGGTTCAAAATGGCTCCGCGCAACTAAGTGGAAGGGTAAGCGCCTGTGTTGATGATCTCTGTAACTGTCTTCAAAATCATTGCATGAAAGCTTTTATCATTCAGTTAGCCCTTAGTTTTGGCACATTCGAGTGGCTCTCCTCTCGAGATTTCGTGGAATTATTTTCTCTTCCTGGTAAAATAACAATTTCTGAACGCCGGATCACTTTGCTTTCAAACGTGGCAATCAAATCGTGAAGACGCAGAGAAACGTGTGAACTTGTTAACTAAAAGCATATTTTTTCCACTTCGGTTCTATTTACCGAAAAAGAAAAAGTACAAGGTAACAGCGAACAAACAATTTTGTTTTTCTGTTATCAAAATTTCCGCTGGTTTTAGTGTCTTACTTGTTAAGGAAAGATAAGCTAATCTCTCGCGTAAAATTTTGTCGAGTATTCTGCAATTAACTGAACTTGCTTGCTGCTGTAAATATATCAAGATAGCGGAGATTTTCATGTTGATCCATTTCGTCTTGAGCCACGTACTATGATAGTAACTCTTTAACCCTTTCTGAGTTTAATTTCATACATATACAGCTTATCCTGTATACTTAAGCTTAATACATGTACATTGCTGGTTGGTTGAAAAGTACTTTCAAAGGACTGAAATAAAGATAGGTAGTATTTTTTTGGTCGCAATTTATTTTCACAACACACTATGGAATTTAATATTCGAGCTTTGTAAGCGTGATTTAGGGAGGAGTTTGCCCATTTTGCGATATTTTGATTTACAAAGCAATCTTGATTCTGAATAACTCTGTTTGTTCTAGTTAACTTATAAAAGTTACGGAAAATATTTGTGCACAAGTGTAGGCTGCTTGTCTCGTTATGAATTTAGTGTAAACGAGTCTTTTATTTGTACTTTTCAGCTGTGGTTAAGTTTTTTAATTTATATGTGTCGTGTCCTATCGTTATTTACACTAGCCAGGCAAATTTGTCGTGCTGGGAGAATAAATGTCAAAACCGCCCTGTCTGTTTTGCAAACAATAAACGTGAAATTGCATTGGTCAGAAACGAAAAGATTTATTAAGAAATTAACATAATTGGAAATATCAGTTTTCTTACCTAACATAAGTTTTTTTCCTCTTTCCTTAACTGAGTCAATAAATTTCATGATTTAATCTATAAGTCTGCACTCTCTATTACCATCATTATTGATGTTTTCCCTAAAAACTATGTTTAAATTGAATGGCAATCAATTATTGCTTTAATTGGTGTGAATATCTGTAAACAAACTTAGCTTTTGTATGACAACAAACATGCTGAGGTGTACTTGAGTTATGTTAGAGAGAAGTTGCTTTTAAATTTAATGTCAAAGGGAACTGTTAATTTAAAAATTGAGACGGCAAGATATATACCTCCAGGGTATTCATGGTATGAAGCTACATACACCCTTTAAAATATTCCATGTAATATTTTTCACATTTAGGAAACCACAAAAATTTGATTGTTTGAAAAATATCAATAATGCTTCTAATGTTCAGCATAAGGTGCATTTTTTTTTGGTAGCTATAAAAACAGTGGCATTAAAATGCTGTTGGAATAAAGAGTTGTTCAGTTTTATCCTTAGTTCACATTTTTTTGCCTTTGTTTCAATCTCATTGTCATGCATTACTTAGCTAAAAACAAAGTAGAGTGAAATATGAACCAGGGGCAAAATTGAACCGCAACATTTCCTTTAGTTTTGATTTAGAGCTAAGAAACTTTTGTTGTGCATCATGAAACAAGCCTCAAGATATGAACATCTGCCTATTTTTGGACAGCTTGTTACTTGTTATCCCAAAATGTACATTGTTGTCTGGTTAAAAATGCGTGCATAGAAGATGGTACAAATCCTATGCTTCAGTTGGCTACCTATGTTGTCCCTTCTTGAAGAAATTCATCAGGCTAGAGAAATAAATAGATATGTTGCCCCTGTAGGTTTTAAGGCTTTGTTACTTTTAGGGGACCATCGCTTTATAGAGAAAAAAACTTACTGAATGTATGAGCAAAATGATGAGTTTATGCAACAGTGGACAAATGTATACGCCAAATGTAGAATGTAGAAGGAGAAAAAAACATGAGTCTATTTTAGTTATTTTCTGTATTATTATCACTTGGATCTACAATATATTGCCTAAAATCCTGATGGCAGAATTCATGGTTTGTGGCTAAAAGGTGCTTTCAGAAATGACCTGTGTTTGCTCTTTATTTGTTCTTTGTTGTCAAACATACAACATTATTAAATTTTGTTGTTTAGCTTGCACACTTATATGTTTTCCTCTTTAGAGTGATGGTCCCCTAAAAGTAACAAAAGCTGGACTTAATTATTTTTATTAGTGCTGTAAATGGCACTTTAATGTTTTCAGTGATACTATGAGTTAATACACAATGTATTTTAAGGTTTTGTGTTCAATGTGAATTATTTTTTAATGCACAATATTTTAAGAATATACATTTCACAGAAATTGAGAGAATTGTAATAGTGGAATAATGTCTTTTTTCTGGAGGTTGGTACTCCCAAATTTGGGCCCTTTTCAACAATTAATCATGTCAGTTTGGGATGAGCACTTTCAGTAGTGGGGCCAAAGACTAATGGCAGGTCAAAATTAATGTGTGTAATGTTTGACCACTAAGAGAGGCATTACAAATAAGGATAGATCACTCAAAATCAACTGTTGTGATATTAGAATAAGTTCTCATCACTACTGCAATATGTGCATGTAGGCTAAACGAAAGGAAATGTGAGGATTTGGGGTTTACAAATTTTGGCGTACATGTATTTCATGCAAAGGGTATGAATTTGTATTGATAGATTTTCCTTGAGATCCAACTTAGAACTTGTCTAGCAGGACTTAATTTTCTGTCAGTCAAATGTCTAAAAACTGTTAGAGTAGAATCCTAGTGAAAGAATACTCTTTGAATGTGCTAACTTCTCTGGTCAATGGCTCTCCTAGTGGTTTTTTTATTAAGTACCTCATTTAGGTACTAGTATGAAGTGACCCCACGTTAACTTTTGAAGAATAGCAGAGATTTAGAATCACGTTTTCTGCAAATGGCAAATGTCAGATTCAAGTTGAGAATTTCTTGAAGTGGAAAATGAGCAGATGAAAACAGTCCAAAACAATTCTTATGAATAAAGCTTATGTGAAACTTCTAATCATTTTGTAGAAGTAATTAACAGTAAAAGGAAAGTAAAGGGAAAACTTGCTCACAGGGTGCAATTTGCAGTAAACGTGACCCTAAGTCCCTCTCATGACTCCAAGATTCGTGTCAAGAGGGAGCCAATCAAACTGACTTCAAAGGATAAGTTTGTCAGTTCTGTGTCACTTAAAGAAGTATCATATTGTTATACAAGACTGTGTATCGTGGTGCTGTAATGTATAATAATGATCAGAAGTAATTTAACATGCTAATAGTTTTTTACATGTAACTTCAGGTTTTTGCTGGTGACGTTATTTTAGAGGTCAATGGTCAACCTATTACTCATTTCTCCACAAATCAAGGTAAGCAAGTTGTAGTTACAGGTCTCAGACAAGTATATTGTCTTGCTGGGCAATTCAAGTAACTTTTAAAATTTCCTTGTCCAATGGGCAAGAATCCAGGCAAGTCATCAACAACAAATTCTATAACTAAGATGAGCAAGAAGTGGTTTAGGGCAAGCAGAATGTTTGACCTGTTTGCCCAAAAAACAAGCTGGAATTCAAGTTTCAATAATTCAGTTTGCATGTAGTTTGTTTATATGGTCTCATTTCAAAGCAGTGTCTTGTGCATTCATGTTTTGGGGACTTGTAGTTTTGTCAAAGCTGATGGAATGTTTTCTCTTTTACATTATTTTCCTTTTTACATGTCAGTCAAGTTTATTTCGGGCAACAACCAATGTATTCAAATCTACAACTGTACCACTCATTGACCTGGTCCGTTTGGTCATTACAGGATAATCTCAGACTGAGGCCTTGATGTATTGACCGAGCGATCAAGGCCTGGGTCTGAGATTTCCCTGTAATGACTGAGCGGACGAGGTTAATAAGTTATTTATTATATGGCCTTTTCATTATGGACCTGAGCCTGCGATCAATTAAAACCAACAACTGGTCAGCAGATAAGTGTAAAAAACTTGTCACCTCAATGAGTTGTACACTTGATTCGCGATACAGTCAGGTGACACTGATCAGCGGATACCCTTTTTGACAGTTTTTAATTGACCATAACATGAATGTCCATAAGGATGTCTACTATCCAGTTAAACACAGATTGTATATGTCTTGGACACCTAGCTAGTAATGCCCAGTCATTAAAAGAAAGTAATGCCCAGTCATTACAGGAAAACAGCCAATCAGAGCGTGCATAATATTGTGCCACATAATAAAAATAAACGTTATTTTATGGGTATTTCTGTACAATGTATGCTCTCTTGTACAAGGCATAGGTCGAAAAAAGAAGGATAATTCTTCTTCTTTTTTCACTTATCATTTTGGACGCCTTTCAGTCTTATCTGCGACTTCCTCCACATATGTCGGTGAGATTCCTAAATTGTACTCCCAAAATGTATCACAATAAATTATTGGGGTCATCATTTTTAGAAACTCCTATTTAATTCAGAATATGGAGACCACGGGATTATCTTGTACATTCATATAAAAGAACATATGTTTATTATCTATTTGTGGAGTAAAATATTTTATGCTGACAGGAAACCTCTTTTCTTTTAAGTTGTGGAAATCATCCGCCAAACACAGGACAACTTAAGAATCCGACTGAGGGATGGTAAGATAAAGGAATTTGACTCATTTCCTGTAGCTTTGGGAGTGCTAAACTTTGGCTATTGTTGTGCTTTATATTAAGGTTGTGTTTATAACTGCACTGTATTTATAATAAATTTAGGACTAATATTTTTTCATGAAAATCTAACCAAATATATGAGAAAAAAGCTACACATACTCAGGTACATAGCACTGAGTAGTATTTAGTGTAGGCATGTTAAATTTCATTGGTATTTTTTTCAAAATTCAATACCTGATGGTTGAGCGAGATATTGTATATTTTGTTTAACTGTTAAACAGCAAAATATAAATCACATTACAGTGTATTATACAGGTGTCTCTTGATTCTTGAGGATATTGAATTGTACAATATGAGTACTGTTAGTCAACATAATTATTTATATGAAAATATTATAGTGACTATTTATATTTATATTGACATTTCAGATCTTAAATGTTGAATTGATAGTAATTTTTTCTGTACTAGTGGTAATGTAAGGTCTGCCTCAAGTTTCTTGTCCTCTGCTAAAAGCAAGAATTTCTTCTCTTTACTTCAGAGACTATTACAAATCAAACTTATCTGAGTTTTTTCTTATATGGGAGCTATGTTTTCAACTATTTTCTGTTCTTTCAGGAAAAAAAGTAGAAAATTGTATCAGTAATGTTCAATTTTTCAATTTATATTAATAAATTACCTGCTAAATTTTTATTTAATATTAATTTTTAAGAAGGTGAAGGGCAAAAGTCTGACTGCATAATTAATAGTGATGTCATTGCTTTTTGATGAGATGCCAGAACATTTGTGAGTGACGGTAAAGCATTATTTAATGCATGAAGGCATATCTTTATCATCCTTGGCTCAAAGCTGAAGCTTCTAGTGGGATGCTGAGTCTTTCCACAAGAGCATCCTGTTTGAAACCAAACCTATAATGTCATGACCTTGTAAAACTAGGATGTGAAATTTGAATCCTGTTATATTATATTGCGTGCTTGAGTGAGGAGGAATAGGAATGTAGTTTTGAACAACCATGGAAAGGTATGATTTGGCAACATACATGTATAATTTCTTCCGTGATTACAATTCTCTTCCTTTTTATGCTCATGCTGTAAGCTACAATGGCTTTTCAGGATGTTGTGTTTTTGTCTTGGCTAATATTTTGCTGCCAATAACATGCAGTGAGTAATCTTTCTTCTGTGCTAGGAGATTAGATACATGTATGGTCATGCGTTTCATTTGTATGGCTGATTGTTAACAACACAACCACTTCCTTACTTTTCAAGACTTACAGCTTACTGTGTAACCAATGTAACATTAAAAAGGTTCTACTCAAGAAACTGAAATTACCACAGTTGAAAGCCTTCATTCAGAAATTATGTTCACTGTGAGGTTTTGGACTCAAGTTAGAAACATGCAATATTGTTCAAAATTTGACTGTGGGTATTGTATTCAAGTTTGATGCCAATATACAGTAGAAAAATTAATTATGAGTTGCACCCATTAATCTACCTCTTATGGAAACTGAGGCTAATTCTGGCTTTTTTTGCTGTACGCTATATTGACATGGCTGGCTACTCCAAGGCTTTGTCTGCTCTATAGCTTTTATTTGCAGGTACATCTGTATGATTTCCAAAGCAGTATTCTTAAACCTTTTCATTCTAGAGTACATGTAGTTTCAAAGTTCCAGTCTCTGAGCAGTAACCTAGCTTGAAAGAGTTAAGACATTTGAGTTGTATCCATTTCAGTTATTTGATAATACTGAGTGTGTTTCAGAGGTCAAGCTAATAGTGAATTCATGTTTTTCCTTAAGATATAACCTAAAGATAGTGTTTTCATTGTCTTTTGTGTGTGCACTGTAAATATAGCTTGTGATGGTCTTAATTGTTCCTGCTGCTCTTGTTATGCTAAAATCATCACATGGACAAAGACACAATTGCTAATCTCATGTGAAGTGCCTTAAAATCTGTTATAAATTATCATCCAAGAGATATTTAACTGCCTGTAATATGTATGCTTTTGACAAGGTTGGAACATGATTATTGTAAATGTATGTTAATTTCACAAATGCTCTTCCATTTTGTACCATTTTAAACCTTTTATAAAAAGACAGACTAAAATTAAACATCAAATCATATGTACATATATTATTATGCCTGATTTCAGCTGATGCAGAACTGCTGTCAGAGTGCTTAGTAAGAATACCAGAAATAAAATGTTTTATCAACTGAAGATTTGAGTAGACATTTTATTACTACATGTTTATAGTTTCTTCTCTACATGATGGTGTAGCACTTTTTAGGTAAAATAGCCTAATGGTAGATTACAACAGTATGCTGATTGTTGAATAAGGCGAACCAAGTCGTAGGGCTAATAAGATGGTCGATCTGTTGGAACAGCTAATACAATATCTTTTTCATTGCTTTACAAAACATTGGTCAGACCACTTCTAGAGTATGCTGCTCCAGTCTGGAACCCATATCTTGTCAAAGATATTCATGCAATAGAGAGCGTGCAAAGATGCGCGTCAAGATTAGCTCTTAGGCAAAAAAGAGGTGATTTGTCTTATGAAGAACGTTGTGACACGTTACATTGGCCATCTTTGTCCAGTCGTAGGACGTATTCCTCTCTTGTTGAATGTTATAAGATCGTGTTTGGCTTATCACACTTGGATTTTGAGGAATTCTTTCAATTCGCAAAAGTCAAATCCACTAGGGCAAATCACTCGTATAAGCTTTATTGTAAATTATCTAGAATCAACTGTTTTAAATATTCTTTTTTTAACAATGTAATTACTTATTGGAACAATTTACCTAGTAATGTTGTTGGAGCCGGTACCCTTGAACTTTTTAAATGTAAACTCAAATCCTTTTTAAAGTTGTAATTTTTATTGTTTGTTTGTTGTTTTTAGGAGAGTTTTATTCATAGGGTTAACCTCTAGACTCTCCCTTTCAAATTTATGTAGTTATATATGAGTTTGAATAAACATGTATGTTATGTTATGTTATGTTATGTTATGTTAACTGTAATTTTAAAATGCGGTTATGTGTACTACAGATACAATGCTGTTTCTATGGATTCTATTGTGTAACAGAAGAGGACTTGAAAATTTTCAACAGAAATTTGCTAGCATGTCTACAAGAAGATACCAGCTCATTACGCTTGTTAAGAGTGGCTAGACTGGGCTTACAGATTGTAAAATATTTCTCCCACAGATATAAATTACACTGTTTGAAAGAGGGGTTGTAGGTGATAGCCTGCTTCAAAATATTCTAGGTGATCTGGAAGTTTATGTTACTGTCTTTAAGGTTGCATACATGTTTACTTAGCTCGGTGCTCATTCTTTTTCTAAGGTTGTTAAATGATGTTTTATTGTTTGCGAACTGCATCTTAAAATTGTTTTCAGTTAGTCCAGCGTAATTAAGTCTCGTCAGGTTTGCTGTCTTCCGTAGTTACGGTCGCTTGATATACAATGGATTTCCTGAGGCAATGGTCAAATATTTTTTAAAAATTACACAATAATTGCTTCCTGTAGTAAATAAATGTACCGGTATGTTATATGTGAAATGCATGGTGCCCCTGTTATTTGATTCTGAGACTCAAAAGTGCAGAGAACTATCCTTTTTTTCCAGCAAGTAACTTAACTGAAAACTGTGAACACCTGCACTTGAAAGTATAAGTCAAAAGATTTTGAATGTCCTATTAAAAATATTATGTACATTTTAATGTACTAGTTTCAACTGTGCCAATAGTCAACCACTAGGTGTAGTAGCACTGAATATATATGGTGGGTATTGGACGTTTGTAAGAACATGTAGATCTAGTATTGCATTCATCACCTAACAATAACTTTAGGAAGGTTAGATAGCACTATGTACCAGAAAAAGTTTTACTATCTTGTGGTTAAATTAATGCTAGAACAATCCAACATTGTTAGGGCTGTCACCAAGATTTCAAGTTGCCCGATAAATAACACAAGTAGGCAGGGAATCAAACTGCTAGGGATTTCTTTTGGTTCTATTTTTCGTCTATTTTCCTATGAAAGTAGCCAGGGGAAAGCCCCGTCTCTTCATGACAGCCCTGATTGTGCTATTCACAGGATAGAGGTTTGTACAGTGGATAATGCTGTTCAACTGTCAAAACTTGATGACTTGTTGTATGCACTGTACGACTCCTTGTTCAGGTCAATTTTTTTCTTTTTGAAAGACTATAATGTTACATTTTGAAAATGATAATCAGATTTTGAAATGAATGCTTAGAGAATAATCTTTTTCTTGAAATTGTTCAACAGACCCTGGTACAAGGGAACGTGCCAGACCTTACCTCAGACGATTTGCGGTGGCTGATCCTAAACTTGCAATTTGTCAAGCAAGACTAAAACGATCAGCTTCTGCACCAAATCACCCACGAGGACGTGCCTACACTGATCAACTTCCAAGAAAAGGGAGCAGACAGAAAGAAGATAGAAACATGCACAAGGGAAGCAGCACAAGCTCTGAAGATGTTAGAGCTGTAGGCAGGTTTAGCCTTTTAGGGGTTGACCAAGGTGTTGATGGAATATTTGCGAGAAGAAAAGATGAGATTGTGGAAAGGGTAATAACAGACTTTCCAGTAGATAACAACTCTTCTTCAAGTAGGACAGATAAAATAACAAGACCTGAAAATTATAAAAGAGATAGTTGGCCAGATAATGGTGGAAAAAGAAGTAGCCAGGAGTCTTTACCAAAGAATTGTGTAAACTGTGGACAACCCGTAGATTTTTCTAGAGATTTAGACCATAACTCATCAGCCGAAACAGCTGAGGCAAGTAAGTATTTAAAATGTAAAAAATGTGGACATATAAGGAATTATTCGTCTGGTGGAAGCAGTCTTCCCGGCACACCTTATTCTGCACATCGGACATTGGAAACTTCGCCATTTGGATTACCTTCTCAAAGAACTGCACAATCATCACATAAAGTCAATGGAAATTTAAATCACAAACCTGCACAAATGCACGGGAATAGTGGTTATTATTTATCCAAGAATAACAAACCCTCCAAGGAATCTAGTTCTGTTTTAAATGGCAGCCTTAAAACTGATATATTTCTACCTCCTGATTCTGCTGGTAGACAGTTTAATGACTTACTTTATGAAACTCCAAGTGCCCTAGCACAGAGATTGTTCAACCTGGAAGGATTTGACAGAGATGAAGTTTCACCAGAACTCAGTAAAAAGTAAGTATTAGTACCTTGTTTTTTAACTGAACCAGATTGAAATCTTCATTACTCAGGTACAGTACAGAAATGTACTAACATGTAGATCCTGCATATGCATTGCTCAGACTGGTTATTTAACCCTGTAAGTCCCATAGGAACCAACATCAATTTTCTCCTCACAACATCACCCTGTATTAAAAAAATCAATAGAAAGGATTATGGGAGTTGATGAAATGATCGCCAAAGGGCAAATGCAATGATCTTTTGTCAAATTCCCTTATGGAAATTTATGGAGGCAAGTTTGGAGAATTTCTATGTGGATGAAAAGATTGAAGAAAAGAAAAACATTAAATAAAACACTTCAAAGAGGTTTAATGTCAGTCTCACCATTAGTCGCTGTCAAGATAGTAGATGGGAGTGAACTGTTCATCTGAAACATTTAAGTAATGTATGTAACTAATATTGCAACTTTTTTCAGTACTCCATATGGGAAATTGGTGGCCGTGGAATACCTCAAGTTCTTTGCCTTTGGTAGTGAAACCATTACACAGTCTCTACAGAAATTCCTCAAAGCCTTTCATTTGAGTGGTGAGACCCAGGAGAGAGAAAGAATCTTGATCCCCTTTTCCAAGAGATATCAAGAGTGCAATAATCCAGATTATGGATCAGAAGGTAATGAAATATACACTTTGTAACCTCACGCCAACCCAAACATGTTTTTTAGTTGTTGTAATCTTTTGGGGCACTTGAAAAGCGAGGCATTTTTCAATCTGAAAATGTTTGGCATCTCTTTACAGATCGATTTTGGATAAAAAAAATTTGCTTGAGTACATTTTTTTAACATTGTACTGTGATGTTATGTTTGTTTCTTCACTCCAACTTTATACAATTTATCTAAAATAAATTATTACAGTCAAGTCTTTATTACCAGATACCTCAGTCTATATGATGGAGACCTCCATAAGAAGGGTAACTTCCTAAATTGGACATACAGCATTGGTCCTCTTCAACCATTTTCTTGACTCATCTTTAAAGAGACCGGTGACATTTTTCCATGTTAAATCAGTAAGTGCCAGTGTTGACTGACTGTCTATCATGGAGAGCTGATAGGGGATTCTATGATGGCAAATGTGGCAAGAATGCCACTTAAAAATTGTTTTTTCATTCTTTCAACCTTTATTGCAATGATTCGAACACCCAAGTCACTTTGTCAAATGTAGGCAAATTCTCCAGGAGTAAATCCCTAAAAACCACACCCAAGTTGTAGTTGTTTATGACCTCCATAAAATGTGAAATAAGGCAGTTTCATGTCATACTTTACTTGTGCAGTGAAGGCAAAGATGTGTACCAAAAAGCGGGTTGCGCATGCAGAGTTGTTGCAGAGTTATTAAAATTAAAAATTTATACTGCCTTCTTGAAGATCTTGTTTCCTTCATTGTTGTAACATCTTAATTTCCTTGTTTAAGCTTACACGTCATTCAAATGACCAGGTTAACTTACTGTCACTTTACTCATAAAAAAGTTGTGATACACTAACTGTATTAACCCATTCGCTCCTGGGGATTTTGCCGAAAAACGCGTTTTGAAGCTAGTCGAGTGGTTTTCTGGTCACTGTCGTGCTATAAAGAGCTAAAACTTACCACAAACCGGTTTACAGGTCGTACACTTGGCGGCCTTCTGATCCAGATGCAAAATATCAGCTTGCGAAGTTCGGGCATGCGCAGAAAGCAAAATTTCGACATAGTTTTTGGGTTTAAAAGTGACACAGCAGTCTTGACTTTTACTTTTCGCTTTCTCTCTTCCCTTCTTTTTTCGCTTTTCTTGCCTCATTTTTTTTTTCTCTTGCTGGGCATTTAGTAGGCTTCATTTTGGTGGGAAGAGTTTTTAGGAAAGCTTTTAGGATCTTAGGATTAGGTGAAAGGAAAGGTAGGTGGGTAATGGAACAAGATTTTCATGGAGATTTTCAGGTCCTTGTCACGTGGTTTTTTGCTTCTTTCTCCGGTGTCCTTGACTGAATTGTGCTCATTCTGGTATGGTTTGAAAGATCTCTTCACTCTGCACAAGTTAGCGAAGAAAGTTGTCCTTGACCGTTAAAACTGATGACGTCACAAAGGGTAGAAAGGACCTGGATCCGCACGGGCGGTTACGGGCGGTTCAGGGGCGAATGGGTTAAGGATGTTGATCTATACCACCAACTCCAATTTAAACCTTATGAAATTTCTTTTTTTCTATTTAGATGCTACTCATACATTAGTGTGTGCTATTCTTTTACTCAACTCTGACCTTCATGGTGAGGTAAGTGACTGGGTTTTATACTGCAAACCCGATCACCAGCTTATGGGTCTCCTTAGATGATTTTTTGTTGGTGCGTGAATAAATGATAATGCTTAACCCAAAGGAGTAACCTGACCATGCAGTGCTATCACATTGATTGAGCTGAAGTATGAGATACATAGTGGTCTCCAACCGAAGTGTACTAATCAAAGTACAAACACCTAGTTATCATCTTTAAGAGATCAACTCTGCTGCTTAGAAAGAAGTCCAGTAAAAAAGTGCAAAGCATCAGGAAAAAGTTGGTTGGCTTAGTTACACTGAAATACTAACAGTATGGTTGAGAGAAGTTTTGTGGCAACTCTTTTAAGAGTACTTCCTTGGTGGTGCCTGGAAATGAAGTTCCAAGTGATTTTCAATAGACTAACCATGATAAACTTCACCCTCCAGTTTGTCTTTTCAATGCTTGTGAATCAAATTGAAAATTTTGATATTAACTCAGGTTTCATTAAGGACCTTATTTGTTTGTTTGTTAATGTCTGTTGTTGTTGTTGTTTTTTTTTTTTCCAACTTAACATCTCTTTTTCCTTTGTTTTTAATTTGGAAGAATCTCCATAAAAAGATGACTCAAGCTCAGTTCATAGAAAATTTAACAGGATTATGTGATGGAAAGGATTTTCCCAAAGATTTGCTCAAGGTATGCACAAAATATTAAAGGATTAAATTGCATAAGAACACCTGCATGCAAGAAACGGAATTTTGTTCAAGTTACATGTATAACCTAAACAGGTGTTGCTCTATTGAAAAGTTATGTTATGTGCATGTACATTTAAAGTTTCAGTGCAGATCTAGCTTGCTCTTAAGTTCCAGGCACGAAATTGAAAAAGTTTTTGAGTTGAAAATTCAACAAGTTTACTTTATTTACCTATTCCCTCATCTGCTGAAACGTGGAAAGTCTTTTACAAACATGGTGTGTCAATTTCCTTTTTGCTTAAGCTGACATTTTAAGTGAGAAAAATCCATATTTTGGAGAGCATCTTTTATGCAAAACAACAACTGATTATGCGTGTGAAACTTTGTATTCATGTATTACACTTCACGACGGGTAAGAATTTCTCTTTTAATCAGTGCCATAACAAAGAGTTTTGCATTTTTTCTCGGAAGAGTTAATTTATAAAAGGAATAGAGAACTTTTTTCCTGTATTTGCATAGCCTGATATAAACACTTGAGGGGTTGGGAGAGTTCTCCCAACCCCTGGCTCCTGTGTTTATATCAGGCTATTCAAACGCAGAAAATGTTTTCTATTCCTTAAATAGTAACTACCTTACTGAAGTGCACTTGTAAACAGGTAAACTATCATTAATTTTATCTCAAGTGGACTTCCACGGAATCAAAAGCAAATTACTGCACCTAGTTTGAATTTAAAAAAGGAGTTAACAGTGGTCTTGCTCCGTGATTTTTCAGGGAATTTATCAAGAAATTAAAAGTAAGCCATTGGAAGGATTTGGGTAAGTAGTGTCAAGGCAAAAGAATAAAAAAGTGGCAAACTGCTTACTGTAGGAAAACAGATAATAATAATAATAATAATAATAATAATAATTAATTTTCATTTTTTCTGTGAAAACGTTTTTAAAAGTGGTCCGTGGTATCTTGTTCAATGGAACTGCAGTACATGTGGAGGTGTTTTAGTGGTCTATAAAAGTGCAAGTGTCCCCAGAGTGTACAATGCAATTTTCTTTTCATTCTCGCTTTTTGAGATCTGTAAGTGGAGAGAGGAATTTTTGATGAATTTTGATGATAAACTGACCTTTAATTATCTAATACAGTGTTCCAGTAGATTGATCTATGTAAGTGGGTTTGCAAAAATGTAAATTTGTTTGTTTTTTAATTTACTTTTAGTGTTAAAGAAAAAACACCAACACCAACACCTTCCAAGAGATCTCTCACGCCAAATGGCTCAAAGGTAATTTGAATAAATTACTAATGCACTTTTGGTGCAGTGGATAGAGATGTGCTAGAGAACGCGTGCTAACTCATCTGTCTATTCTTCTTATGTGCACAATAATATTAATGGTGTTAGTTAAATTATAATGACAGTAATTCAGTCTAACCTTTAGTACATGGACCCTCTTAGTATCAGAAAAAGTGTTTCTTCAGAAAAGGTTAAAAAGGCAAGGTTTGTATGTTCAGTATGTCAGTGGGACTGTTACTTTGTTTGTTTACTTGAGTCACCCACCTAAGGGAGTTGACTGCTTACAGGAGTTGTTTAGGAGTTGGTGTTCGTAAGCAGAGGTTTAAACTGTATTAGATTATTCAATAAAATTTAATCAGCTCTTTGGAAGTAATGTTTTCTGGGTATCTATTGCAACTGTACAGTTGAGGAAGTATCAGCACTTGCATGGTCGAACAGGTTACATGTAATGTTGTATTTTTTGTGAAATCTTTTTCTGGCTGTTATCTCATTTTCTAATTACATTGTATGTGTGTTGTTTTTACATTCTAGGGAAGCTCTTTGGGCAATCCGTTTGTGGAGGTAAATGTACATAATGTTAATTATAATCACAGAACTTAGATCAGTTTGATTGTTTATTTGTCATAACAATGTTGTATACTTTCTGAGATTGCTCAATAATATTTAATTCTGATGACATATCTGTGGTGAAATTTCACAACAACAAATTTACATTTTGGTGCAACCCCTCCTGCAAACATCCCATGAGCACCAACACCTCATAACTGAGAATGTTTAGACAATCATTGACACAGGGGATGCAAATAATTTCAACCATGCATGTTCTTTTGGCCTGCACTTGTTCCTCTCTTAGTGACAACTTCATTTATATGACACCTAAAATTGTAACTTTTCGTGGTTCTTGGGTTGTCCCATTCTCTGGGTTTTACAGTAGCAGTCTCTGCATACTTGATCCTAACAGTGGAAACTTAGAAATCTGGTTTTGTCAACTGAGCTGGCAAAGAAAGTTGGCCACCCAAAAAAGTATAATATTCTAAAGATGAAGAAATTGAGCTGTTCATCAGATTAGAGAAAATTAGTTTGGATAATGGTCTAAAATGTAGTCATAATTGTAATATTCTAGAATTATTGAAATATTTTTATTGTAATATTATTGTAATATTTTAAAAATACTTATAATGATTAATTTGGGATCATAGATTCAAGCAAGTGATAGTGACAAGGTTTACAAAGAGGGTCTACTCTACAGAAAGGTCACCATAGATTCAGAAGGGAGGAAGAGTGAGTTTATTATTTTTATTATTTATTATTTTTTTAACAGTCCAGTGGTCATGTTTTCCCTTAAACCTAACCTCCAAGTGAGATCTTTATTAATGGTATACATGTATGTTTAAAAGGAATTGTTTCCTCTATCGCTGGTGTAATTATAGTTAAATTTCGACCATACTTGCCATAGAGCCTCCAGTAGTTCAGTTATTGTTTATTATTGTTTATTGTTTTGTTTGCCATAAGTTATACAAAGCAAAAAAATGTAATTATTTTTAAAAACTCTCATGTCGAGGAAGCCCAAGAGAAGCCACCAGGCTTATAAGGAATGGGCTCCCTCAGTTAGATAGTTAGAACAAAATATTATCATAATTACACATAGGAAAATCAATGGCAGAGCTACAGTAAATCTTAAAATAAATATATTAGATAGTCGTACTAATCATAGTTCTAGGCTAAAAAAAGCGAAATGACAAAAAGAAAAAAAAAATGAAAGTAAAATAGCAAAGGTCAAAAAATATATATATACATACATATATAGAGCACTGAACTAGAACTGAACTAGAACTAGAACAGGGTCATGAGTGTGATCTTCACCTGGAGCTCAGAATTTTTTCTGAGCTTTCTGGTACATGTAAAGACACAAAAATAACTGAAACCACAGGCAACCCAATATTGTAAGATAATAGAGTACTAAAGTGTGACGTCATAAAAATCAAATTTGTGAAATTATGGGATTTGCCTGCATATTCTGAAAGAACAACGTCCAAGACGCCTACTCGCCAAAAACTAGCATTGTGGGGCAAATTGTCTCTGAGATATTAACCCAGTTATGCTCTGATGACTCCATACAAATCCTTCTAATTTTGACTTGGGTCTAAACGTTTAGACCCAAGTCAAAATTAGAAGGATTTGTATGGAGTCATCAGAGCATAACTGGGCTAATATGTCAGAGGCAATTTGCTCCGAAATGCTACTTTTTGGTAAGTAGGCGTCTTAGACATTGTTCTTTCAGAATATCTTGACAAATCCCATAATTTCACAAATTTAATTTTTATGACGTCATCACTTTAGAACTCTATAGAGAAATTAAAACTTAAACACCCAAATTGCATGCATACTGTCAATGATTCAAAGGGATTTTTTATGTGTATCTGTTTTTTAAAACTGATTTGATAATATTTCTGTTTTTCTTTAGCCTCAGCTTGGAAAAGAAAATGGATGCCATTTTATGGCACCTTGAAAGGAATGATACTTTTTCTCCACAAGGTACTAATGAAGTCTTAAGGTGATTCCATAGTAAAAGAACCTAACATAGATTTTAGCTAAAACTTGGTACACTGATGTAACAAGTCAAGAAGATGATAAAAAAGTAATAAAAAGTGGGGGTCACCGTGCTCGTTTTGACGTCACAATGCTGACAAATACGGCTATTTAGGACCCTTTTACAAAAACCGCGGGCAGCGCAAAACTAGACAAAAAGGAGAGATTTTTTCGATGATGCATGTGACATCACACAGAATTTGACTTTAATGTATTGTTTATCCACTTANTCTTAAGAACAGTGCCTTTCTCTTATTTCATCATGTGTGGATCAAGAAATTAAAAAAATGGGAGTCATATGCTCCATATCCTCTAACGGTTAAAAACATTTTTAAAATGTACATTTATATAATTAAAATTAATATGTTAATAAGTTCAAGCCAAGTAGAGTGGGCAATTTAGATTTGGCCCCTTTGGCTGGGCCCCCAATGCATGGATCTCCTCAACATTACAAGCTGTTGAAGGTGATCAGATTTGTTCCTTCCTGGGTATGTTTTTTTTCTGTCTCTTTTCATCTTTTTGCCATCTCAATGAATGATAATAATAATAATTTAAAGTAATAATATCATTGCTTTTCAGTACAGTTATTATACCTTTTGTGGAAAAGACCATAAATCTTTCATTATCACTTTTGCACTCCTTCCAGTCAGATGAAGTTACCACTCCAGAACAAACAAGGAACTGTTTAGGAGTTCACCATGCTTTGGCTAGTCGAGCTACAGATTATGTCAAGAAACCCTTTGTATTTAGATTTGTCACTTCAGATTGGAGGGAGTTTCTCTTTCAAGCAAAGTAAGTAAACTGTAGTAGTTACCTCAGTGTAATGAAGTGATATGTATTTTCCATATAATTTAATCATGTTCACTCAAGTACCCCAGATTAATCTCTGTCCTCAAATAAGCTCCTTGGCCCTGATATAATCAAAAGATGTTCATTCTGTTAGTTTAATACAGGAAATAATATTACCATTGTTAATACAACTCTTTGCTGTGTTCAACTTTCAAATGAAGGCTGCCCTCAAATAAGTGCCGCATTTGAGGCATGACAAATTTGATAAGTGTGGCGGCACTTATTCAAGTAACTATGGGAATGTAGTTGCTGGAGAATCATCTCTTCTTTGGCAGTAATGTACTGGCAGCTGTCAAAATCTCTGGAAACATATAGAAAACTATATAATAATTGTTATGTGGCTTATCAACCTAGACAGGTAACCAGATATCTTAATGTTATAAAAATAAACGAATTTGATTTAGACCGGTATAGAGTATGAAGCCTTTTCTTGTAGTAAATTCATTGACAAAGTGTTGTTTGTTCATTTGATTGTTTTTGCAGAAATCAAAATGAAATGAATGCATGGATTGAGGCCATAAATCTTGTAGCTGCCACATACTCATCACCACCCCTACCAGCTCCAATTGGGTCTTGGTACGTTTTACATTAGTTTGTACCCTTTTTGATGACTTAATTACTTGACCTTACATATTTAACATATGTCAATAATGGCATTAATTACTGTACTCAATGTAATTCGTTTTCTTTTATCGTTGATATAATTTGGGGAACTAGGAATGGCACAGTTGTTAGAGCACTTGCCTGCCACCCATATATATGTGGCTCAGGTTTGACTTCTGGTATTGACCTCGTGTGTGGGTTGAGTTTGTGGCTGGCTCCCTTCTCTAGTCGTAGAGGTTTCTCTCTGGGTATACCCACAGCAGGTTGTCCCTTCTCCTGAAAAACTAACAAATCCGTGTTCCAATTTGATGTGGAAAGTGTCTTCAAGTAGTTGGTAATACTTCGAGGATGAGAGATGAGATGTCATATCCCACCCTCTTCAAATTAATAATGTTGGATAGTTTTTTTTGCTAGTTACAGTGACTCTTAGGTGAACTTTGGTTTTCCCCAGGCCTTGTCGAATCTTGACAAAATGTTTTCAGACATTGTCTCTGGCCAATACATTTTGTGATCGTTATTAATCTCAGGTCTCCCTGGAGCATTCTTGAAGGTAGCTAATTAATGTATCTTCATTTGTTTTATGTTTGCTTTTTTTGTAGCAAGAGATTTCAGCGGCCTGTTCTTCCTTTTTCTCGCTCTCAGATGCCACTTGTAAGTGTCCTCCTTTGTTTTTTCCTGCATCTTCTTGTTTGACTGTGCCAGGATTAGCTCAGTCAATAGAGCTCTTGACTGCAGAATGGCGAGGTCATGGGTTTGATCTCTGGGGCCGGACCAATAGTCGGGGTGTTCCAGACTTCCAATCCCCAAAAGGCAAAAAATGTGATACTCTGAACCAAGAGCTGGGAAAAGTGGTGAGAAATGGGTAAAAAGTCGTGAGATGTCTCAAATTTCCTAGTGGAAGGATTTTCAGTGGGGATAATGGATATTGGAAGTCACATATCACTTTAAAGCTTGAGCAGTAAACATCACGATTTTACGATTTAGGTTTTTTTTTTTTGGCGGCCATCTAGAAGCAAGAGAAACAGTAAGTTGGCAAATTCAGTGGCAGTGGCAAGTCTTAGGAGGCAAAGAGAATGTTTTCTTTGGTTTGAGCTTGCTATCTATGGATGTCTTAACTTGGAAACGAATCTGACAGCTCCAACATTTTTTTGGAGTTTGACTTTTCGAGAAAGCATGAGAAGTTGCTAATATAACTCATGAGAGCATGAGATTGGTCTTTAAATTGTGAGACTCACAACAAAGTTGTCAGACTTGGCATGTCTGTTGTTCAAATCTAACAGATAAATCACTATCCACTATCCACAATTGTGTTCTCCACAACTAGGCCAAGGCTGTAAAAAATCTTCTTTAGTTAAACTTCCATTGAGTAGCCAGTAGTTGAAGTCGCAAAATAACTGTAGAAAAGAATACAACCACCTTTTGGCCATCCGAACAAGATTTTTCATGTTGTTGCCACCTCAATTTAAGCAGCCATCAAGCACTTGATACACTAAGTCCAGTTTTATTTTAATTTACGATGAAGGATAATACAGTCAGAGATTGAAGGTGATGACTGATCATGGGCAAAGTGCACACAGCATTAAAGCACATTTAATTTTAACCTTGCACTTTACTTGATGCTAAAGGTAATTTCTTTATTTTGTAAACCACTCTTGTTCAATTCAACAGGCCAAACAACTGGAACATCATGAGAAGAAGGTGAGTTGTTGAATCAGCATATACTGTTAATCAAAGATATGCTATCAATGTACTCTGTTTTGAATAGTGTTAAATGGCAACTGTTTGTTTTGCAGAGTTCAGAAGCTGAGGGACAATTGATTGAAAGTTTACAAAGTAAACCCACAGGTGGCTCAGTCAGAGAACTAGAGGTGATTCATTTCTTAGTTAGATTAATTACAGAGGATCCATTTTTCATACTTCTGAGATAAAGGAAAATATGTCAATCTATTGGGAGAAAGGAAAAAATTGAGGATAGAATCATAGAACTTTAAAAGTAGGGAAGGAAAGTCAGTTTTGGTTTTTACTATTGGGAGTTTAGGAAATGAAGATTCCTCAACATTCCCTTTTCTTGATATACAGCTATTTCGAGAATGGTTGTCGGAAGAAGTGCATCCAACAATCCTGAAAGGTATTATGGGTGGTTTGGTTTTGAGTCCACTGTTAGTCAAAGAAATTTAAAAGAATGGCATGAGAGGCCATGGACATGCGTTTGTGAATGCTAAAGGAAAGTAGCAAAAGTAGGTTCGACAGCTACAGTGTCAGGAACAGTGCACATTTTTGCGACAACCTTTCTCGAAAAAGCTGTATATATTTAAGAAAACAGGCTGCAAGAGTATCAAAAGCTGGTCATAAGCACTCAGTGAATATTTCTAGAATTCATTCACTGGCCAAGCTTTGGAGCAGGTGTAACTGTTAAAGTTCAGTGTAGAAGAAGATATAATTGGCTTTGCAATAATTATCTGAATGCATTGCTTATATACCTTGTTTCAGGAATGGCAGGAGAAGCATGAGTTCCTGGAGTACGAGGTAATTAAGTACACTGTATAGCTAAGATCAGCTCTCAAAATGATCAGTCTCTAATTCCAGTTTCTTAATGGACCATCAGAATAGGAAAACTTATTTTATCATTACTTAGGAGGAGAAGGTACATGTATTATGGCTAAGTGTTTTATATTAGGGCACCTGATTTCAAACCTAGGTTGAAGCCCCTACCCCACCACCCCTTGACATTTAACCCCCTGAGGGGTTAAAGCTTGAGTTGATTTTTGGCACCTTAATGAACAGATGTTCTCTGTAAGCCCAAGTTCAACTCCTTGATGATAATCTTGAAAATAGCCAAATGGTCAAGCCTCTAGTTGGTTGGGATTATGTTTCCTCCCTTTTTATTGTGGTCCACTATTATTTATAATATTGTGAAAATTGAGCAGCCATACGTGTATCACCTAATTGCCCTGTAAGTTGAAATGAGAGAGCACCAGCTGTTTGAATGGGAAAAGCACAGAGAGAAAATAGCTGGTAATAATAATATTATAAAAACTCAAAAATCCACTATCTGACGACTGGTAATCAAGATCATATCAGATCTACCGTAAAATGCCGAAAATATACTGCAGGGCTTTTATTTTTCAAAGGCCCTTTTTGAGGGGCTTATTTTTGGAGGGGCTTATATACGGAGGGGCTTACCTACAGAGGGAAATTTGCATTTCAAAATCGACTGGGCTAGCCTTATAGTTGTAAGTAAATTTAACGTTTTTGCTTTGTTTTGCTTTGCATTTGAGGGCAATTTCCCAAGTACAAGCCCCGGTGAGGGGTGATACCAGTGAGGGGGGCTTATATTTGGAGGGGCTTATACATAGAGGGGCTTATTTTCGGAATTTTACGGTATCTCCATTGTTCTTTAAATATTATTGACACATTGCTATTAATGTTCAAATTTGATGGTTGGTTTCAATTAATGAAAAAAACATTCAAAACGCCATATTCATTGTTTCTTCGCAGTACAAAAGGTACACAATGTACGTGAATGTGTTACGTGGCTCAAAGTTGGAGAGCAAGTTGCGTGACAAGCCTCGAGGTCCCGGCAGGTCTGTTCAATCTATCATGTTACAGATGAAGCGCTCTAGTTCTTTGGGGGATTTAGATCTAACTACTGGCTACAAGGGCAGAAATGTCAGAGAAAGCTACTTTATGGCCATTTATAAGGGTTAATAAAAAACTGCTGTAATCTCACATTAAGACAAAATTGACCCTTTATCAAAAAAAATTGTCACAGTCATCAAAACTGCACAGTTTCACCACATGCAAGTACCATAAAATTCTTGTGGCATGTCATGATAGGACACATTTTTCATGCTGGTGCTAAAATTCAAGGCTATTTTGTAAGCCACAATTATATTGTTAATTCAACAGTCATTTTGCATTTATTTAAAATAGCATAGTTTTGGGCTGTTTCTTGGAGAGGTTTGGTAGTTTCAGGGTTGTATTATTGCATTTTTGTATAAACTGTCATTATAATTATTCTCTGTAAAGAGTGTTTATAAACCTGCATTTTGTACATTTCCTTTTTGTACGAAGAGTCCTAATATATAAATTACCAAGCAAAAATTGCTAAATAATGTTAAGAAAATTTGTTACTGGTCATTTTATTAGTTAGTACATAACCTGAAACATGCACTTGGTCTTTGGGAGAATTCTAAAGGTTTGAATTATGGAATTCCATGTTTTTGATGCAGAATGTTCTGGGGTTGGTTCAAATAATTATTAGCGGGAGATTTTAAAAAATGGGGTAAAATAGATACGGTACTGTAGTGTTTGACCTCGTTTATGTAACATCATCCACTGACATCTATAATGCCTCTTACTACATGTAAATCTTAATCAGATCAATTTTTTTTTACATATTATCAATGTTCATAGAGAAATTCCATCAAATGAGATTGATAATTAAGGCAAAAGGCAAGGTTTTCTCATATAACTGTAGATTCCTTCATGTGTACATTGTGTATGGGATGTTTGTGTTTTTATATTTTTTTGCACAGAGTAAATGTGGATTTTTTCAAGTATTTATAAACAATCAGTGATAAACCATTTTTTGTACTCGTTAGAAAATTGTAGTGATATTGCATTTTGAAATAGAGCAAATTAGTAAAGTGAATTAATTATCTAGTAAATTAGAGTAAATTAGTAACATTAACTTGTCATGTAATCTATGAGTGGGTTCTAGTAATGTAGAGGTTATTAAGTAGTTAAGTATCTTATCATTTAGCTAATACGTTGTAGTATGTTTCAGTTAGTTCTTCACAAGTACGATTCTGATCATAACCATATAAGTGAACAATCAGCTCTGTTTTGAATTATCATTAACATTTTGTAGCAAAGTGTTCGACACCAACATTGTTCTCTGGGTTTCATTGCCAGTCTAGGGGAAGGGATAAACATCAAGACCATTAGACCTACGTCGATAAAGTTTCAGCTAGTTTGACAGAACAGTACATTATATAAAAAGAATTTGTTTTGATAAATCGGGCAAGTGAAGTGTTTTGTCAAGTCAAACTTAGCAATGTTCTTTTTTGAGTTGGTACCTAAAGTGTCTGAAGGTCTTGCTGTTTTTCCTTCCTTTCAATAAATTAACTAGTCTTTCCCATGATAGCTGCTTAATCTTTAATACTGCGGAGCTAACCACTTTTTTTTTTAACCTCTGCACCGCTGTCTTACCTTATCTTACATATATCTGTGCTCCTCTTAATCCTAGCCCAGAATCCTGAGTGTGCAAATAACAATATCATTTGATGCTGGCACTCTCTTCATGGACAAGAAATTTTATCCTCTGATTCAGCAACTGAGGTTTACATAACATACATTATATGGCATCTTTTTTGACACATAAGCTGTTGCTGACCCTTTACGAGTGTAAGACCACTGAATTTAAATAGGAAATGCTGGTAATAGGAAGAAGTCAATATTCAATGTTGGAATTTTCCCTTGCATAAAAGAATTTTCAAAAGTGAATTTGTGAGCACAGATGGAAATCGTGAGTGTTCAATTAAAATTTAATGAACAGCCAGCACTAAATTGTGGTCATTTTACATTTTCAATTTCTGAGAAAACTACTGGTAAATCTGCAGTACTGGTCAATAAGTTGAGATGTACTTTAAATTGTAAGTTGTTTAAAGTTACTGTCAAACCAAGAACACCATGAACTCTTGAAATACGGTATTTAAGGAATGTTTATTGTGATATGACCATTCGATTCAAAGTAAAGATCAAGACATGCAAACAAACGACAAACGTTTTGCCATTTTTGCTTGGGGTTTAGTTTTCTCACACCTGATTGGCTTCTCCTTACAACACAATAACATTCCAGAAATATTTTTCTGAGTTCCATAGGTGAACATCTCTTGAATTAATAGGTTTACTGTAGTGACTTTTCAACACTGTAGTAGGCAGCTTACTAATTAACTTGATCTTGGATTTGTCTTTAACAATTAAAGAGACGGGCAAGTATTGCAAGGTTAACTCCCCCCCCTGTCATGCAGGTATTCTATTGACTCATCACAAATCACTCTTCCCTGAAGGGGGGGGGGGAGGGGGGAGAGACCATTCTGTGATAAGGCAAAAGGATGTCTACACTGTATGTAGGGGCCTGTCAGCTTAAATCATGAACACTGAGAAGGGCTCAGAAGTAGTCTTTTTCTAAAACAGTAACCATGGCAGTGATTGGTTTTAAGTATAAACTATGGAAGCAAATTTTGTTTTCAAAATATCCGGTCTGAGTGAGCCATTATGACTTGAGGTATGCACCTACATTTCATTGGTTTGCAGCTTTCAATACATTGATATAGTGTGCTCTATTTTTTATTGGGAATTTGGGAATGATTTAATAGCTGGTTGGCTAGAATAATTGAAAATGCTGTAATATTATTTTTATTTAGACTCAAATGAATTGGACTACATACATGTTGTAGAAGAGAAAATTAAAATATTTGGCAGACCCAGAGAAAGTGTTCTGTAGAACATAGCATTTAGAAATTTCTTTACAAAATGTTATTTATTAGGAGAGTTATTATTAATTGATTGTTTACATTACTTTATGGACATGTAAAAATGTACCTTTGCCTTAAATTTTTCAGCGTGCCATTATTATATAGCTTTATAGTGCAATCACGAATTGCAAGGAAAATAAAAAGATTTGTCACAAGGACTTTGGTCTACAATTTATTGCTTTTCTGTAACAACAGACCCTTCCACGGTATTTTTCAAGTTTTGATAAAGACCAGATACCAAATATCCATTGATACTGCTGGAAAGAGCTCCTTAAAATTTGCAAGCTTGCCAAGTTTAAAAGTGATACCTTAAAAGCGAGCGGAGATATTGCTCAGCAAAGTCGCAAAGCAAAGATTTTACAGACATTTGTATGGTGGGGGGCACAAAACTTGCCCTCACCATACATTGTACAAACGTAAAATACAGTGTTTTTGTAGAGCTATGGCTTTGTTATTTTTCAACAAATCATGTTCAAACTTAGCATCTTTACTAATTTTACAGTGTTCTTCTGAAGTATTAAACCTGGTCTGAGCCATCTCAATTTCAAATGCATACAATTACCGATAAGTATGCATTGGAGCACAGATCTCTGATTTTAAAATCTAAAATTCACGTTACTTTACAGTGAAACCTGTATTAAGCGGACACCGTATTAGGCAGACACCCTCTATTAAGCGGACAGTAGTTGAAGTCCCCAAATTTATTTCTCTTATTTACTTTAAATTCAATTCAATTCAATCTTTATTTGCCATATATACAAAATTCTACAATGCAAGGTTGGAAAAACAAGATTAAATGAAACCTTTATTAAGCAGACACCTCTATTAAGTGGACGTGGACACCTAAAAAGTACCTGAAATGGTAATTTCTACTGTTGCCAACCTGTATTAAACGGACACTTGTGATTAAATTCCACCACCCAACATGCCAGACACCGGAAATGTGAAAGATTGCCTCGAATTGTCACCCACAATTTTTTTGATTTTTACATTAAAATACGTGACTTGACAAACTTATTTGATTAGTTTCACAGTACGGTATTGTTTGTTATTTAATTTTGTTTGTATGGAGCTTGTTCCACTCATCTGATTTCTTCAAATTTGAGTTGCAATCTATGTTTATGGTCCTATGATCAATTGGTCCACCTTGATAAAGAAATTAATGCAAACGTATATCGTCATAGTCTCTGAGAGTATTCAAAAAGTTTCCACTGTTCATTTGAATGACATTTTACACCTCATTTGACGTTATCTATTGACACCTGTATTAGGCGGACACCCTGTATTAAGTCGACATAACAGTATTCCCTGAAGGTGTCTGCTTAATACAGGTTGCACTGTATGTTGACCCCTTCAAATTTGTTTTCATCTGATATTATCGCCTGGCGATTTTATGGGAATAATTCTGTTATTTATTTCCTTCATAAGATATTAGTGATTACACAGTCATCTTTACAAGAATTAAAATTCTTTATCTTAGATCAATTACTTCAACTCTGGCAACTTTGTCCCACAAAATGTGTGAACTTTCCTGAAAGGCAATTAGTAAAAAGAAAGCATTTTAGTACTCAGATTCCTGCTACTAAGAGTGGAGGCCATTGTTAAAAGGAGTTCATTCATTTCTTTTCTGTGTAAGGGCAAGAAGGCAATTGATCACTTTGATGTGAGAGACTGAAAAACTGACTGGGAAAGATGTGAATAGCAATAGCAGTACAAAGAGAAAGTGTATAAGACAACAACACTTACCTGGTATAAAGGTGGCTCTTTAGGGTGTGGGTGAAATCCTGGTTTTTTACAGTTTAAAATAAACTGAAGACCATATTCCTGTGTGAGTGAAAACACTCCAGTCCTGCAAAAATTCACAAACAATACATCTGAGCCTGCAGATTGGTGACATCCTGGGGGGCATTGAAAAAAGTATTATATTAGGAGGCTCCGCCCCAAGGTCCAACAACTTACTCTTTTACATACAAATTTTGAAAGAAAAGGTACCTCTTTCACATACCCATTTTAGAATGTGGCATCTCTTCAGCTGCAAATGCTTCTATTTTGCATATTATTTTACTTTCTATTTTAGTATATTTTTATTGTAAATATTTGATACATATTTTATTTTTTAGTTATAAGTAACAGATGAAGAGCCGCAATTGAAACCCTGTTATTAAACCGATTACTTACTTACTTACTTACTATTAAATTATTAGGAATCACTAAACTAAGAAGTTTTCTTGTCTTTTTCACAGCGTCTGTCACCCATTTTAGGTCATTTTACAGAACAAAATGACAGATTTCCCTACCCCTCTGTATAATTCAACCAGTGCAATCCCTACCCCTTCACCCACCTGATGTCTAAAAAATGTACTCCTTTCAGGGTGGAGCCTAGCTTCTTATAGGGCGCTATAGAGAGTACTGCCCTTCGGGGCCACATGCACTATTAATTTTGTCTACTATGGCAGTAATGACTTCTTGGGAATGCAAGTGATTTTTTCCTTTAGTCTTTCTCCATCATGGGGTTCTGACTTCAAGCTATAGCTGAAAGCCTACACTATGTTAGTGGCTCTCATAAAAAAGTGCAGCAGGAGTAGAATTTTTTTATATAAGTTTAGGAATCAGGTTCACAATGTTGCCCACACATACGACCTGCATCATACATGTGGATGATTCATGGAAACAGTGATGATTATTAAAGTTTCCTGATGTTATGAAGGGTTTAAAAAAGTATTATTGGTTACCGGCATACCCCATTCTAAATCAAACTTCCTAAAATCATGACTCTATTGCGCAGCACATGTAAAAATGTACACTTATAGGCATTCTGGGGAAGGAGCACCTGCTGGCACCATCATAATATGATGGTTGATAGTTACTGTTACTACTTACTGATCAAATTTTGGAGCACACACAATTGCAATAGCTTCAGGCATAATGAGTTGATAACTACAGTGCGTGTGAAGATCTACGCTTGACATGAAGCTGGTCTGAGAAGGGTGTGTCTGATGAAAATCAGTAGAAACACAGTTATATTTATGAAATAAATTTTACCTTTAAAATTGCATTTATTTATTGAATTATTTCAAATAAAAGGGGACCCATAAGGAAAGCAGACTACTGACAAATACCTTTCAAGATTCTCACTCTCTCCTCCATAGAGGGAGATGAAGGCTTGTCAGAAAATTAGAATTAAACCTCTCAGAGGAGACCGATGTTGATGCTTCTGAGGCTTACCTTAACCCCCAAGGGAGACTATATTAAAATACCCAACCAAATAAATGCTATTTTAAAATAGTGATTTCAATTGTGCCTAAAATGTTGACATTGAAATATATGCTGTCTTCAACACAGTATGGCTGTGGTTTATTTGTTTTATGTAGATAATTCTTTATGTACAACCCTTAGGGAGACCTGGATGGGTAAAGATCATAGGCTTTCTGTCCTTAACACTCCAGTGTTAAAAGCAAGATCAAAATGTGCAATTTACGCCATTAATCAAGATGACGAGCATCTACACCTCTCTTTCATACTGGAGTCTCTTTATCTTAATTATTCTTTTATGTAAACATGTTTATTCTGTGGAGAAATAAATACTACTTAAGTCCCACCCTCATGGGCTTTTACTCAGAGGATGGGGAGGGGAAATTCTCTTGTTATAAAAATTTTTTTTTTTCTTTATGTGTGGAGTGCCAGTGAGAGCCTTTACAGTGGTAAACTGTGCAGTCCCTATTCACTCTGTCAGGTCGTGGCTTGGCAGGACTTGAGAGAATAAACAAGCACTTAACATGCTTGGTTGTGCTAAAAATAAAAATCTTGTGAAGCAGAACAGTCTACTAAGGAGGAGAGAGCATGGAAGCAAAATGAGAATTTGACAATACATCAACAGTCACTTAGGGCCTCTTTTCATACACTCCTTCATTCACTCAGTCCAAGAAAATACAAAAATTAAATAAACTTACTAGTAAATCTAAATATTATGGGTGTATTTAAATCTGATAAAACAACAAAAAATAATCAAAAGCCTATTAATGAACTAAGATTACTAAAAGAATAAACTTGAAGTGCTTGGTTGCACCTTCTGTTTTGAACTCACTAATAAAATACTCAGACTACTTATTACACAATACTTGCACGAACAGGGTCCCGTTCTCTGTTAATCATGCACAAGAGTATACTTACGTGGATCCAGCCTAAAGTTAGGAGGTCATAAGAATCTTGAATTTCAAACAGTTCCTCTTCACTCAGAGTTGTACATGAATCTGACGTAGAAGTTTGTTTTGGAATTATCAAATGAGTAATGCAGAACATATTGCTTTGCTGCAAAAAAGATTATGGAGAATGTTATATATATTATAATAATTTTAAATGGTCTACATAGCACTATCCTTATGTGGCATGTTCGAGTTTAAATAATTCAACCCCCTCTAATACTCTAAGTCCCTAGATAATGCGCGAATATGACTTTATGTTTCAATATTTGAAACAAACAGATCGATTTAGAACTTTATCATCAGCTGAATCAATAAATACTAAGTATTGATGATACTTACAAGGCGACCAGTAAGAATGCCACAAGTCTCCAGATTCTTTCGAGTGTTCTCTGATGCGAGACGTAGAAATACGCTAATAAGTTCTCCGGGAATATGAATCTTTCTAAGACCAAGAGATGGTGAGGATGCATCTATGAACAGTAAAGAGAATACTTTTCAATGGTAAAATTTTCCTCCAATGAATACAGTTTCCAGTCTTTAAACAGAATGCCGTTGATGATAAACTTTCAACCACCTTTTCAATACCTAGTAGAAAATCACCCCAAGACTTCTGTAATTAATTACCAGTAACAGGGATGGGGAGATCTAGCTTAATTTTGATCCAATCTCCCCCCATAGCCCCATACAAACAAAACAGGTCCACCACAATATTACCTCGAAAATATTCCTGTGTTAAAAATGTAGTCTGATTTTAATGTTTTTCCTCATAAATCCAATGTGTTGCTTGCCAAATTATATCATTCTTTATGTCAACCCTTTATGCACTGTAAGTACCTGCCAAAATCCCTCAGTACGAGAACTAACACACAGAAACACATGGGCAAGAATCGAAGTTCGGTGACTTGAAAAATTGGAAATTTCAATTGTGAAAAAGTGCAGTCAACCCCTTGCTTTTTGATCCAAAAAGGCACCCATCCGGTCTTTGGTACACATGTACACCACCACCCTCACTCCCTAGGTTTACATATGCCTTCATGTATTTAGAGATTTCACTGCTACATAAATTCAAAAATGCATGCTAACCTGAAGCCATCACTGGTTTAGTTGACCTGTCAACTGATGGTACTCTGAAAAAAAAATTATAACACAAATCAAGTAATCACTGACTTGCAAGTGTAAAATGATAAAAATAAAAGCTATAAGCAAGTCTCGATTAGACTGTATGGCACCAGAAAGAGGAATGCGGGAATGCACATCATTCTCTTATAATCACACGGCTTGATATTAACCATCACATTAATGCTCATCGTGCAACCTATCAATATTATATTCTAGTCCAAAGCTGTAGCAGTAGGGAAGATGTTCATCACAAAAACTGGGTTTTATGCCCTCAGCCCTCACAATGCAAGTCTTTTGTAGCTTAGTGGTACAGCATCAGGACTAGGTCATAGTTTTGCCTCCTGTTAGGAGAACTCAGAAATTTACAAGTTGCCTATGTTCACTTTCTGAAGAACAATCATTTGTATTTGTTCTATCGTTACCCATGTCAAAAGGCTGATCTTTTCACCTTGGAGTTGGTACAGAATAGAGTGATGAATAGCTTGGTGGCTGCACAGTTTCATGCGTCTGTCCAACATCACTGGGTGCAGTGTGTTCACGCTGATTCCCACCTACTTCTGTCCGGTCACTGAAAGATGATTCCTGATGTGACACAGGTGGAGCTGGATAATCTCCAATCAATGGAGGGGCACTTGGGGTGACAACTGTAGCCAAGCCTGTGTCTGCAGGTATCTCACTTTTATGCTGTTGCTGTAAAATTCTTTGAGCTTCCTGCTCTCTTCTTGTTCTTTCTTCTGCTTGTGCCTTCTCAAGCTCTCTTCTTTTTGCTTCTTCCTCCTCTTTCTACAATAAGTATAGCAAATAACAATCAATGACTTGTAGAACTTATGGGGAATCCTCCTCCAGTGCAGTGGAAAGTATAGATGAACACTTACAAGAGTGTTGTTTATAAGAGAGCTTTGACTGTATAATGTAACAAAAACATTGATTGTGTGACTCCAGGCTAATACTGTCGACCAACATTTATGATGCAAACCAACACAGACAAGTTTTAGAACTATAATGCCAAATATTTTACGCAGGAAAAGTCAATATAACACCTGGAACATAAATTAATATTATATATGTACATTTATTTATGCATAATTAATCAATCATAAACTTTTTTCATTTTTGGATCAATATAGGTATAAAATTTATATATATTTGCAATAAAGTTACTTTTGGTTATGGATCTTACCTTTTTGGTTTGCTCAGCTAAGAACTGGTTGTATTCCTGCTGATATCGTTCCTTTAAAACTCCTTTTAGTTCCTCTGCCAAGGTGAATGCCTTTCTGAGGCTCTACAAAACACATAATATAAAAATACATAATTATCAAGAGTTTCTGAGGTCTGTGATGATTTTCTAATGACCAAGGGGCCACAGCCTCAAAAATTCTTAAGGCATTTTAAAATGCAAAATTATTATTTATAGCAGAAAGAGTTTAAAAGAAGAAGAGGAGAGCACCTGGCCTCCATCCTTGCTGATGTGGTCTTTTGTGTGTTCAGCTTTTCTAAAACGTCTTTTTGTGCCCTGACATCTTCATTCATGACATTTTAAAACTTCGTCATCATCTTGACACTGAGACGTACTGAAGGTTGCCATAGCAATTTTGAAATTTCACACTTGTGAAATTACAAATTACAAATCAACGCTGAAATTTCGCACCCAAATTAAGGAGTAATTTGTCACCTGTGATATTAGCCCAGAAATATCCTATCCCAGCTACCCCTGAGGATCTAAAAAAACCATTTGCCCCCTGCCCCCTTAGCCCCAATTGTATGCTTTTAAATACAACTAAAATCACCAACATGAACTATTAACCCTTGAAACATTACTGACCTTCTTGTTGTTTGCTTTATCAATTGGTGGTGCTTTAGCATACTCTGGATGTAATGGAAGCTTCTCCACAAACAGCCTGCAAAGCAAACCACACATAATTTAACATACCGGTAGCTCAATTTTCAGAGGACACATGCAATATTTCATAGGCAGCTCAGGTACAGCTGAAAGCTTTGTAACAGTGGAGCCTTTATATAATGAGTTGTCAAGAGACTGGAAAAATATGTTTGACAAGGTTTGGCAATATCCAGGTTATTTCCGTATACAGTAGAACCTTTCTTCTGGGGACACCCTCTGAACCATATAAAATGTATTTTTCTTTTTATTCTGCCTCCGAATCGGCTATGGTCAATATTTCAAGCAGTTAAATAATGCATAAAGAAAATCATGATCAACTTATCATTGCAAAATTCTGTGTTGAAATCCCACAAGTGCGGTACATTGATTAATAGTTCATGTTGTGAAAGTTGTTGTCATTGTGACTAGCATTCACTTCAACTTATCCAAGCTTCACTTTTCAAGTGCTAAGGTGTCTCCTGAAAGGAGGTTAAACCCAGGTTTCAGGACCCAGAAAGAGTGTGCCTTTATTTTAAGACCACGGTACCCAGGACGATCGTTACCATGAAATCCTAGGACTTGTGATAGAAAAAGGAAAGCCAATTAACTCAGGATTAATGAGTGACCAAGCATTCTACCTGGTGGCACATTGGAGCTCTACCGGGCACCCTATGTTATAAACACTATGAACTACAACATCATGATTGTTGTCAACCATAATGGAGCTACACTGTAAAAGCTCTTTTTACAAGTAAGCCAGGTCTGATCATACTTTCACTAATTTAACTACACTATACTCACGTTATAAACTTGGAATATAAAATGAATGCCCTTTCCAAATCTCCTTCATCGTGGTAAATCCTTGCCTACATTCCAAGAGTTGAAGAGAAAAAAGGTGAGCTAGCTAGCTAGTACATGAGGCCCTGTTATGATTAACTTCTAACAAGCCACATGGCCTTGAAACGGTGACATTTTTAAGACAGCTGGAATGGCAACAAACAACACATAGATGGGTTGAAGCTGCGACATGGACAAGGCTTTTTCCTCAAATATGTGAAATTAAAGGTTTTTTTTAAACTCAGACTTGTAAAGTACATTTTGCAACCCCTTCAAAGGGTCTAATATATATTACAGGGGTCTATGATCAGTGAGGTAATGCCAGCTGTAAGGAGCCAGGCTAGCTTTAATGAAATTGTTGAGGGACTGCATATACCATACTCTAACTCAGGAGGGGCTACAAGCCCTAAACTTTTTGTACAACATGTGGTGGCACATCAAAGACTTTGTCCAGAGCATAACATTGCAAAACTGAAGGTATCAAGGACTCACAGGATCTCACACCACACGTCAATAAAAAATAAGTAAATGAATGTTGACGATACAATGTACTTTATTTTCGTGAAAGTGGTCATTTAGCAGAGCTTTCTCAAAGACTAATAGTAAATTAAGTAAAGCAACAGCATCAAGTTCATGACCTAGCTTATTTCTGGTTCACATAACTGCTCTCTAATCTCTGCCATAGTCTTTATAACAAACAAATGACTCTATAGGGGTTACACAATTACAGCTGTTAAACCAATAGTCCTCATTGTGGCTTATGAGGTTAAGAATCACAACTGGCTGCAGGCAAATCAGTTGCCTGTTTACAAGCATGACCAAGGAGTTGAATTCAGGACTACTAAAAACAAAGCCAGCTGGTTGTTGGAGAATGGAGTGAACATGGGGCCTCAATATCCTAGTTACAATTACAGCACTCTGACTGCTCGGCTAAGCTACAATCATCGTCAAAAATGTTGGGAAGGTTACCAATTTTTACCTTTTTGGTACTTGTCCCCCCCCGCCCCTGGATCAATATTGGACAAAACTAAATTGTTTTTGTGCGTAATTGTTGTTACATGTCCCAACATTGAATAGGGGGCGCGGGGGGGATTCGGGAGAAGAACAAATAATCTTTTTTTAACATACACATAAGGCCTATGAAATCGGGCAATAATGTTGTTAAGTTATTCCATCTTCCCAACTACTTTTGTCCGTGATTGTAGCTCTGCCCAAAAGCCACTAGTGGAAAAAATCTCGTGGATCATGGTCCGGAAGTTAGGTAGGAGAGGGGGGAGGTTGAAAACTTAAAAAAAAACTGAAATAATGTTGTTAAGTTATTCCATCTTCCCAACTACTTTTGTCCGTGATTGTAGCTCTACCCAAAAGCCACTAGTGGAAAAAATCTCGTGGATCATGGTCCGGAAGTTAGGTAGGAGAGGGGGGAGGTTGAAAACTTTATGTCCTGTCATTTCATCTTCAGCCAGTTCAAACAGCTTGTTTTCACACCACTACAACTTATTTATTGAGAATAATCAAGCAACTGGATACAAAGAAAGTCAGTTTTACAGCCTGCCATTTGGGCAAGCTGTAGCTAGCATGTGCTAGCCCACAAGTCATTTCAACTAGCCCCAAAACCCTTTTTTATTAAGAGGATTGATTACAATCCTTCTGTAATTTGAATTTCCCAAAAAAGCAGTACTTGCCCATCGGGCAAGTTAAGAACAAAAATCACTGGCCTGATAGCAAGGTCCACTAGCCCCCGGCTATCGGACACACCTTTCCTTGCACCCTGTCAAGTTCCAAAATTTGCAGCATAACATAAGATAACAACATAACAACTTTATTTAAGTGTCGATGTCTTTAGCTTATAAAAGCTAATTGGGGACACTAAAATAATAGGAAAAAATTATAAAATGAGTTTATACATGGTATCATAAGGTGAATTTATAATTCTCTAAAGACTTATAAAGGTTCCTGGTAGACTTAAACACTCTAAGAGAATTACAGAGATCTGTACAGTGTATGTGTACAAAAAGAAACTTGCTGAATGGTAGATCGGAAAATGCCATGAAATGGGTTTAGTGAAACGATCTCTGGCTACGAAATCCCAAACTTTGAGTGACTTTTACGGATGTGCATATAACAAAAAACACTGTTGTGTATTAGCCTTTATGAAAAAAATTACTTCAGTTCCTATTTTTAGAATTGACAGTGCTAGTATAATTCGAGTAATGAACATGTAAAAAAAGCTGATGCACGCTGTTTGCAAATAAGCCAAAAAACTGAAATAATTACTAACTACAATGAACTTACAGTTCTTCATATCATAAAATTAAAAAAGGAAAGCATTAGTTTAAAAGTTTACAGTTGGTATATCGATACCAGCTTGCGAAATTTGGCGGCAGCTCGTTGTAAGCTTGTTATGTGAATAATATGAATAAGAGAATAAAGACTCACCATTTTCTCCATTTCGACACCCGACCTAAAGTATTTCTTGGGCGCTATACTGTTATCAACGTGTACTTGTCCTGCAAACTGCACTAGTTTTCTCACTCTTTCACCTGGATCTTGATCGTCCGCCATCTTTTCAATCGATGTTTTTTTTTTGCGTTTAACACCTCAAGTAAGATGCCCCGAGTATCCTCCAAAGTTTAGGAATTTTCCACAGGCCTCCCAGAAAGTTCCTTGAAATTAGACTGATCTGATTGGTAGACTTTCAAAAACGTCCTTCGTTGTTCGTCGCTTGCTGCTTCGAGGCCTATTACAAAAGATCGCGAAGAAACTCATGAGGTCGTCTTGTGGCATGTCTATCTGATTGTTTGTAGCCTGCATAACAGGAGTTATTATTTTTTTGCGCGTTTTTCAGGCAAGCGAAGGTAAACGTGAAGCGAACGAGGATCACAGGAGTCAGCCTGTTTTCTACTACTCTCCACATTCTCGTGGCCCACATTCTCCACCTAACCGGCAGCCGCATTTTTTACCACACGGGGAAAGCAGCAAATAAGTAGTGATACTGGCAATTTTGGGGTTTTTAAAGTTCTGCGAGCTTGAAAAAATGGGGGAATCTTATGATCTTCAAAAGCACAAAAGGGGAGCAACTGAACTAATCACTCTCCTGGATATTTTTGTTTTTGTCCTAAGACACAATCGGTGGTATTTGTGTGAGGTCATTATGGGCTATGGATTTTAAAAAGGGTTCAAGATTTCCAAAATAGTACCATCCCTGTGTTTTCAAGCTTGGAACAATTGGTTTTCGCTCTGCGTGCCGGTAATCACCGCCTACTTTATACGATATGAGACACGTGCCAAAATATACTATCAGCGTGCAAGTTTTCTCGCTAAATGTCTCTGCGATTTGTCGTAAGAAAGCATAGTCCTGGAAATCACTAAATGAATTTCAAGAAGGATGAGCATCACCAATAAAAAAGTAGAATAAAGCGATAGAAATTGCATTCTTTTGTGGGCTTAGGCTTATTTATGTCCTACTCCATTGTGGGACTCATTCCCAGCCCTCATGAGGGTTATCTCCATGGCAGCTGTAAAAAATCAGCGAGTCCTCCAGGGTTGCAGAGGTCGTTTCAGTTCCCTTTTAGCAAAGCGAAAAGAGCGTACGAAATGCACAAGGCCATGTGATAAAGAAGAGAAAAAAGGAGGCGGAAAAGACTGCTACAGAGGCTAGGCGGCTCAAGACGCGTATTCCTTCCCCCATCACTGTTGCAACTTTACATTTTATATAACGGATTGGAAAGGCACTAAATCTCCGCAACGTCTCCATTGTTTCAGTCTGCGTATTTTTTTTTAAAAAAAATTCGAAATCTCCCACCCCTTACCTCTTAACTGAAAACAACATGGTCACCATTTTTTACCCATATTATTTTTTCTTTTTATCTTTTTTTTGGTGAATCTATTTCGATTTTTCTTCCTCAATCTCTTGTTCCCCTTTTCCTTTTTTTTGTCTTTCTAGTTTTGTTGCTCAATTTTTTTGTCGTTCTATAGCTTCAAATTTTGGCTGGCCAGCTTTCCATCTGCAAGGAGTGTTATTCGTAGTAGGTAAATAGTAAAATTGGTAGTGGGTTTTTCCCAAAACGTTTACTTGAGTTTTTGTTTGTAACTCTGTCAGGATTGGTCAGAATGTTCAAAGTGAGATACCTGCCAATCTATCCTCGCTTAATTTGCTTTTTATCAACTTCAACTGAAAGCTAAATAGGTCCAGGGCGGAAAATATGCATCGTTACATACAGAACGAGAACGACCAAAGCGTCATCTAAGGGTTTACAGTCAAGTTAATACACCCACAAAAACCTCGCTGCAAAACCTTAAATCACTCTTCATTCCAGCAAAACTATCTTGCGTCACTTCACATCAACTTCTAGGATAAAAACGTTCGGCATAACTCCACCACTTCATACATCACACATCTCAAGCATTAACAACAAATAACTCTAATTCTCTACTCACAAATCCCTTAAACGCATAAAACAACTTCACCTCCCCCTGATACAATGACAACCAAGTATACGCTCCCACAGCGTCTTGTAGTTAGACCCTTACCTATTCCCTGTGCAGCCTCCTCCCCGGCCTTCTTGCAATTCATTTCGGAGAAGTATCCGAGACGAACGGCCGGGATACTCAAAAACTCGCTCGGACAGTGTGACCCAAAACGTATAGACCGCGCGGAATAATTAGGCCTATGGACTGGGACTGGTTTGGAGCGTGACTCAGTCTGTACGGATACGATGAACAGCGCTTAAGAAGTGAATTTGCTTTCTTTTAGATAACCGCGATTATTCCCACCCACTTTTTTTATCAACTGTAGGCGAACCCTCCTGGAGTCGATTCCTAGGGACAATATCCAAGTACAGAAAGAAGAATAAAATTTCGTCCTCGCTTGTTTACGTCCTCAGTTAAACGTAAAATTAGGGAACTTCACGTCCTAGTTATGCAAAAACGGCAAAAAATAGCACATGAACTTATCTTAATGAGATTCCATCCGTTTATTTATGACATAAAGACAAAAGGCTATACAGAAATCGGCATTAATGTATTCCTAGGGAAAGTAATGGGTCTCTTCACAAAAAAGGTTAATTTCATCCCTTCTATACAATACTACTGTCACCACTTACCTACGCGAAAGAAGAAGGGGTCTATAAAGACGCAAAAAAGAATCAGGCCAATGTCCAGTTATCTTGACAGTATAAGCTTAGACAATAAGGGATTTTTTTATTTGGCCGAAAAGAGAATTTTTTCTTGCGGGGCAAACGAAAGAAATCCTGAAAGGGTCTTATCCATGTCGCTTGCTCGCTCGCAGATTCAGCGATATAATAATACTTTTTCCAAGTTCAAATTCTGTCTGACACAGACGAAAAACCATCTATAATTTAAACTCCTTTAATCATCTTTAATTTCAACTAAAATAATCAGGTGGTAAGGTTAGAGAGACAGACCTGCTAGAGGACACTGATTCAAAAGCAAAATTTAAAAAGCTGGACTCCAAATATGGGTAAATTAGAGAATACTCGGCTCTCATTTGCATGTCATTTAATGACAAAAGGGCTTATAATATACCAATACTTTACTCTTTACAACGCACTGACACAAAAGAAGCGGTGGTGTGTCACCATAGTAGTTAGGTAAAAAATAGTTTCAAATACAATTAAAATCGTCTCTTAAACTAAAGAGATCGCTCACTTCGTTGGCCACTTTTTTACTCGTGCACGGTTGGTGTCACGTGACGGATTCATCATATCGTGCTTCTTCTTTGTAATTTTTCGGGGTTCACAACCAGTATACAATACTAACTATGGTTCCACGGCAGCTAAATTTCAAAATAATCGTATTTCGAACATTATAATGCCTAGGCTCTTAACCAATCAAATCAGAATTTGCATTACATAGCAATGATAGGTGTCAATAGTCCATAATACAAAAATTCTGATTTAGTCTGAACAACAACCAATCAACAAAATTGAATAGTCCAGTTTCGAATCAAAAATTACCGCTGAATACAAACATTAACGACACATTCATACAGGGTTAGCCTTGATGTGAAGTAAAATATTCAGAAATTCTGGCAAGTAAGTGTTTGAAATTTGAATATACACAATAGACAGAGTAATAAACAGGTCTTTTTCTCGTTGGAATTTGTGAATATATTACTTCAGATGGAGGCTAAGCCTGTAAAAAATGCTTCTTCACTTCTTTGATTCAGCGGTCATAGCGAACTCGAAAATGGGCTATTCTCGTAAAACAAACGCATCTCCATCTCTGTTTATACACTTGCTGTGTCTTCGCAATCACTTTCATCCTCCAAAAAGTCCCATTCAAGAGCCTGAAAGAAAATGATTGCTGTTTTAAACGATTTAAACTCTATTATCGGCACTAAATGTCAGGTGGCAATGTCATTACATGATCAAACACAAGGATTAAAAGCTCACGATGATAAGAAAAAAGATCTCCGAGGACCTTAGTTTAGCTTTTATATTTCTCAGTTAGTACGTCCCCTGTGATTGGCCAACTTTGCTTGTCCTATTCTACTGTACGGGCCGCTAAACTTTAAGGACCTCCCAAGCGCCCAATAGGTAATTTCCGAGTTGCTTCCAACCTCTCTTTCAAAGTTAGGCTAAGTGCGCAGCCATTGACATGAAAACAACATTTTCATTCTCATGCAAATGAAACTCATTATAACCAGAAAGAAAGGTTTTCTATTTAGCCTCGCTTTGAAAGTGAGGGTTTCCGGGACTCAGAAATAGCCTATTAACCTGGATCTCGTTTTTTGCACCAGGGCCAAAGTCAACGAAAAAAATAAAAGTCGGTCCGCACATAACTTAAAGTAAGGAACTCGAACACGGTTACTATCTGAAGAGTTACTTATGCAGCCTTTTTTACGAAGAGTACAGTACCTCAAGGTCATTCATTTGATCGATTTTAAGTTTGTTTAATTCTTCGGCAAACCTACAAGTCATAAAAAGTGTAATTAGTAATATGACAGTAAATAATATTTGTAGCGTGCGAGCAAGGTCTCCACTTCGAGTGGTGTAACTTCGAGCGTATTTTGTCACGATATCCCCTGAATGGAGAGCTTGAGAGTAGGCTATGATATTTGGTGCTGGTGATCTTTAAGTAACTGGGGGGCCCGCTAATACAGTCCCAAAGATAAGAGAGGGGGCGGCCTTGAAACTAATTTTCTCCGCTCTGTAGGCCTAAGTTTGGCCGGAAGTAAGGTGCGGGCACTGAACCCCTGGCTCACCCACCACTGCTGAAGCGTTACGTCTTGACAGAGCCTAAATAAAGCACGAGGGGTAACTGGACACGATTCAAGGAACTGTAATGTAACGCCCTTTCCTCCACAGAGGCCTCTTTCGCGCCATTATACTCGCGCCGAAACCGGAAGAGGAGACGAAAATGACGCGAAGCGGGGAAAGAGGGAGGAGGGCGTTTATGGAGACAGAGGGCGCGATCTACTCGAGAAAAACGTCAGGGAATTTGAAAGCAAGAATGAATAGGAAACTTTCCACCAAACGTGAAATGAATTTCTGAAATGTGAACAGTTACAACGAAAATCCTGGGATGTGAACAAAATCAAATGAGACAGACATTC